TTTTCACTGAAATTTCCAAAATTTCAATCTTTCAGTGAATATTTCATTATGAAATTTCAACATAAAGTGAAAAATGAAATTTACCCATCCCTAGATAAGTAGCGAGTAACCTTTGGCAAATTTTCTTTTTATTTTACCTTTTAGTTTTTTCCCTATTATTATACTATTATCCTTATTATTTACTTAAGTTTTAAGTTTTTAAGTTTTACCACAGATTAACTTCAGTCAGTCTGTTGTTTTAATAATCTGTAAAGTGTTTTAGTTTATTTTATGTTTCATTTTGCTGTTGTAACCAATGGCTGTAACACTAAAGAGATTTGAAAACGAACTATCCGACATCTTTGCAGTCGAAAAGGGAGTTCGGCAGGGATGCATATCATTGTTCAATTTATACTCTGAAAACCTGTTTAGAGAAGCCTTAGATGTATCAGAAGACGGTATTACAATAAATGACCAACTTATCAATAATATTAGATAAGCAGACAACACTGTATTGCTGGTAGATAGTCCGGAGGGTCCACAGAGAGTGATACGCAATTATACAAGCCAGAAACAAATATGGACTGAGACTAAACTGTAATAAGACTAAAATAATGATTAGTAGTAAAAATACCAACTTAAAGGCCCAATTTACAGTAAACAGTACACCACTACAAAAAGTAGAGAAAATAAATTATCTGGGCTACAATATCAGCGATACATGGATACATGGACCATATTTACGAAATAAGAACGCGCATTGAAAAGGCCAGAAGTGTTTTTAACTGTATTAAAAAGTTGTTTGTAACCTCTCTTAAAACAACAATATACGTATAAGATTTTTCAGATGCTACGTCTTTAGTACTCTCTCTATGGAGTAGTTTTTATGGAGTAGAAAGCTGGAGTCTACAGAGGCGCCATCACGCTTAGAGGCATTCGAAATGTGGTACTACCGCCGCATGTGCTACGAGTCTCATATACTAAGGGCTGGCAAAGGTTAGTCTTGGGTCGAGATTTCCGTATGTAAGAAGAGTACAATGCGTTTATAATGTACTGAACAAAGAGAGGACAGTAAACACGTTGCCAAACGTATGAAATAAACCGAGAAACTGTGCACATCGCTAAGAGACGTGGAGGGGGATATAGCAGATTTGTCGCAGTTGACCGGTCGACCCAATCAATACCTCTGTCAGTACTTAAAGTTCTAGGGAAAGGTGTACGTCATGCGTTCAGCTTCACGATTTAATTACATCTCGTGGTACTTGATTTGTTGATTTATTAACGAGTCGTTGTAATTTTCCCTATAGGTTGAATTTTTTTAAGTGCAAGCTAGAAACACTTGCATTTTTGGTAAAAATAAGTGGAATTGAGTGGGTGTTCGATAGTGGTCGCGCTATTAGAACTCTGAATTCAAAAATCGATATCTCGAAATCTATTAGAAATAATAGATTGTAGTTTTTTCAAGAACTTTGTTAATATTTCTGCTGTATTTTCTTTGTAGACAGTATGTGAAATTTTTTATCAATAAAAAAATTACACGATTGCTGAAAATTGCTATGCTCTAAAAGTAAATGGATGGATTGTTTACAATTTTTGAATGGAAAAAACAACCTTATCGAATTTTTGTTATGTAAACATATTGTAAAATATCCGATCTTTAAAATAAAAAAAGTTAAAATATCTAAAGTAGTTATGTGTTTATGTTGTACTGTTATGTGTTAAAAAGTTGAGTTTTAAATTATCGCGATTACAGACGTTTTCTCGTTATAAAAAAATGACATCCTAACAATATCCTTATAATTCCATTTCAGATGCTCAGAAACATGTCTAATGATTTTATCTAGTTATCTCTTTTAAAAAAAAGTCTTTTAAAAATAAGCGGTTTGCGATCGTGATTTTACTTTACTTGATAGGGAAACGCGTATCGGCAACGCCGCAACAGCACACCGTCGCGCGTCGCGTCGGTCGGTCGCATTTCTCTCAGTCCGACTTAATAAGATCCCTATGCGATTTACTTCCACACATGTAAATCCCGACCCAAAAGTAACAGTTGCCAGCACGGTATACACCATAGTACTAAAATCGCAATTCTTGAAAGACTTGAACGACAGATTACCATTTCTAGATGTATTAGTTATTAGAAATACTAACTACTGCCTGGAATTTAATATCTATAGGAAAAATACGACCACACGCAGATATATTCCTAATGAATCACATCATAGTGTTTAACATAAAATGGCTAGTTTAAATTTCTTAGTTCATAGATTACTTAGTTTCCCACTTTCCAACGAAAGATATGAAATAGAAAGAGATTACATTAGGAATGTAGCTGAGTGTAATGGATATTCTCCTTCACTAGTTGATAAATTAATTAGAAAACGTAGGTATAGGTTAATGATTTCTGAAAATTCGACTTTTCAAGTGGAGAAAGACACGTCTAAATATTTTTCGATGCCGTTTGATAGAGAGTTATCCCGTGGTCTAAAAGGAATTTTGAAGAATGTAAATTATAAACTTGTGTATAGTGCTAATAATAAATTACAACAATTATTAGGTAATCCAAAGGATAAAACACCTCCACTGGAAAGGTCGGGTATTTATGAAATTTCTTGTAAAGATTGTAATCAGAAATATGTTGGGCAAACTAGAAAATCAATATTAACTAGATTTAAAGAACATTTAGCTCAGATAAGATATGGTAAACCGGATAAATCTTGCGTTGCCGAACATATTGTTCATAAAGAACATTGTATAGATCTTAATAATTTAAAATTAATTAAACAAGTCTCAAATTACAGGCAATTAGATGCATATGAAAGCATCAGAATTAATAAATGTAAAGATAGTATGAACAGAGTCAACGGTCCAATTCCTTCAAGTTCTTTGTTCCTACTACTCTAGTGGCGGAAATCTAACTGTTACGCTCAGTTGGCTCTGACTCGGTTGGCTAGATTTTGCCACGCCCACTCATAAAATACAAACAAAGTAACAAAACAAGTAAACAAACAAAAGAGAATAATACAAAACAAGTATACAAATTACACTGTCAGTCTTATTGTTTAAAATAAACATTTATAAATGTTTACAATGTCAAAGAATAAAAAAATAATAGGATTCAAAAATATTTAGTAAGTTTATAGTAAATATAGTAATAGCAAATATTAGACCAGTGTTTACAAGATCAAATTCGATTATCAAAATATAAGTCATTTGGGGCGTAGAAATCTTTGTCTAGTAAATAAGATTTCAATGCTTCGCGATATGAAGAAAATGATGTTATGGATTTGATTTCAAATGGCAGGTGTTTGTGCATTTTTTTCGAGTTGTATAATATTGAACTTTTAACTAACTCTGAGCGTGGGGTAGGCAGATAAAGATCTTGCTCCGCGTTCCTGAGTGGATAAGTGTGAGATGGCCTTTCTTGAGAAGCTGATACATCCTTACGTATTAGACAAACGGATTCAAATATAAATAAGGAAGGAAGAGTTAATATTTTTAATTTTTTAAAAAAGTCCTGGCAATGAGTTCTGCTGTTTAGTCCCAGTGAATATCCAACAGCTCTTTTCTGGAGCTTGAAAATACAGTCAAATTGAGTCGCACAACACGTACCTCAGAATGGAAAGGCATACCTGAGGTGCGACTCAAAAAGTGCATAATAAACAGTTCTAGCCACTGACAAGTTAAGATCCTTAGAAACAGATCTTAACGCAAAGCAGGCAGAGCTTAATATTTTCGACAAAGCGTCGATATGTATGTCCCATTTTAGAGAATTGCCTGCAACAAGCCCTAAGAATTTTACAGATTTTACGACGTCAATGATGGTGTTATTAAGTACAAAAGGCAGCAGCGAATTTTTATACGACAAAGCTTTAGTTTTAGAAATGTTGAGACTCAGGAGGTTCGAATCGCACGAAGATTTAATGGTGATTAAAGTCATTTGATATAATCCTATGAAGTGCCGTGACGTCTTTGTTGCTCCAAGTGAAGCTAGTGTCTTCAGCAAAAAGGCATATTTTACCACGGATGTTTATATTAGAAATGTCGTTAATAAAAAGAAGAAACAAAATAGGACCTAGTACTGAGCCATGTGGTACTCCGGATTATATTAGTATTATTAGGTACTCCAGATATATTAGTGATGGTTTTCCTTATAGAATTAGTACTTTTGCACCGTCATTCTTTGATTTGTTTAACCCTTTGAATAAAAAGATTAAGCATATCAACAAACTTGGTGGAGCGCAATGGGGGAATAATATGGCTGACTTGTTTATATGATCCCTCCTTAATTTGTTTATTTAAAGGTAAGAGTCAGTCGATTTAGACATTCGCTAAGTCCACCTAACTTGACCATCATATAGTTTAGAAATGCGGTTAAGACTCCGCGTAAATAAACTAGTCCCCATCTAGAGTAACCCTGGTAGCAAATATGAGACGTAAAATACTTTCCATGTCTTCAGGATGATTCCATCTAGATCTCAAGAAGAATGGAATAAGCTATGCAATCGATACTGCATACAGGGCATCAGACAAAATGGGCAACAGTCCGGCTACATCGAAACACCGGTTGCCGATAGATCACAGAAGTTACGTGACGTTAGACGATGAGAGTGGATGGACGGGTGACCATCTGGAATGTGCTGTTGTTCCATGGTTCGAGACCGGATCATATCGGATATCTCTTGAGTAAGAGTAGATTTAGGACTCGTCAAGTGGGTAGGCCATTGACAATAATACGGCCGAGGACCGCAGTTTGGTTTCTGCGTAAACAAAGTCTATATTAGGATTAGCAGCAAAAACGAGACGTTAACTCAATATTTACTTTTTTAACTAACCTATCTGTAATTTTTTATTTCTCTTCATAGACATATTTTTAGACAATTGTGAAAAAAAGTACACACTTATAAAGTGTATTAACAATCTTTAAGAACTAGGGAACTAGAAATAAAACACATGTACTAATTAATGTACCATTAATTTATTAAAAATTATTTATATAAAAATATATAGATTAAGAAATTATGCAATAATTAAAGCACTTAATAGAATAATAAAAAACACATAAAAAAAAAATAAATAAATTAGAACATATTAAACCGATGAATATTGCACCATCTTAATTTTGGCCTGCTAATTCTGGAAACATTTCCAATAGAACTATATCAATCAAATTATAAGCAAGCTGAAACAAAAACATATCGAATGAACCTAATAGATTTTTTCAAAATATTCTTCATGACATTAAAAAAAATCAAGAACGAGTAAATTACTTTTTTTAATAAAAAAAAACTCAATACAACTAACCTGTTTATTGTAATGTGGGTTCTGCAATATTTCTAATATAGTAGTTAGGCCTTCGTTTATTGGGCTGCCAAATATTCGTTCCAAGTACTTTGGGCAAAAGTTTATGTCCTTGAATGCTTTAATTTTTCTTTCTTCGTATTCTTGTTGGGTGTGTGTTGGTCGATGGTCAAATATCACGCCTATAAGAATAAATATTAAAAAATATCATAATTGTATATTAAATACATTATAATTTTTTTAATATCTTATTTTGTTTACAGCATATAACTCCATATCAAAAAGAGCGTACCGTTTATCATAAAAATTAGAAATATAATACAGAAAATAATTCGTCTCAGTAAAATTCAAATTAAAACTAAAATTAATAAAACAGAGGAAACATTACAATTTAACTATCACATATTATCACGGATAATGTCTAAAAAAGCGTGTATATCTACTAAATAATAATAACATTTTTTCAGAGATACAAAGTACCATGGAGGTACCATACGGTCGAAAAAAATCGCAATTCGCAATTTTGTGCACATCGACATAATATCGTCTATTAAAAATTTACTTAAGATCCTGCCAAAAAATATAGATCACTATGGAATAAAGTCAATCGTAATAGTATATCGTAGGAATAGTGTGGTTATAATATGTTTTACATATGAAAACAGTGACACAAACATAGTGTAACAAGAGGTATAAAAAATTGGCGCCAGGAGGCACGTATAGCCGCCCATACTAAAATATGTTAATAAAAAGTTGGTAGGCAGTTCTTTTAGTTTCAAAGTAAAGGAATTTTTCAAATTTTTTTTATCTCAAAAACTGCGACTTTGACTGATTTTGATGTTATTACAAATTTTGTTGCAAATATTATTCCTAATCTTAAATTGAAAACCGCGTTTCGCTAGCTACTGTAATTTTGAAGTTACGATTTTTTTAAATTTTTAACCCCCTCCCATACCCCCTTATCAACCCCCACCCCCACCAAAAACTAATGGCCAGATTCTCGGGTGCCACAGTATTTTTGTGTCAAATTTGGTTAAAATCGGTTTAGCGGTTTTTGAGTTATCGTGTTACAGACGGACAGACAGACACCATGAAAATATTTTGTATTTAGGTCATTTATGGCCCAAATAACTCATTTTGAGTGAAATTAAAAAAACTTTTTTTTGCCGATCTTAATAGCCTACCATACCTATTGGTATGGTCGGCTAAAAATATGGATCTTCCAATACAAAATGTTGCGAATTCTCATGTAAAACCGTGTCATTTATTTTAGTTAATATCTACGAAACGACCTAAACAACAACTTTGTTATAAATTGTTATCTAATCAATTACCTATCAACATTTATAGTGACGGTATTAATATAGACATCTATATTTTTATAATAACTATAACGACTTGACGCTCGCACGGCCACCATAATTATAAAATAATAATATATAGTCTCTCTAACGACTCGAGGAAGATTTCGGCAGACGACATCCAAAAAATGAGAGAAAATACATTTTGCCAGTGAATTAAAGTGGCAGACACAAGTGTCACTAACTGCACTGTCAAGAACCGTCCCGTTGGACAGACTATACTATTTCGATTACTAAAGTAAATCTAAACGGTGCACTGAAGGATATATGTAGTATTTTAATTAGCAGGATATATTGCCGTGCAATTGCCAGGTCATTATAATTATTATAAAAATAAAGATGTCTAATATTGATATGGTCACTATAAATATTGATAGGTAACAATATATAACAAATGAATGAGTGCTAATATATAACAGTTGAATGAGTGCTAATGACACTAACTAAAATAACTGTCTTAGTTTTACATGAAATCTCCCAATTTTTTGTAGTGGAAGAACTGCGTTGCAAAACTTGGCATTTGCTTACATTTTATGTTTTTGATAGGATCTTCCTTCTTAAACAGAACGAAATTTTATGATCAATCATAAAAATATATACAGGGTGGCCCATCGAAAACGTTCCGCAAGGCATAACGGCCAGGGTAATTTTTTTTTCAGAAAATTCAAAAACGCGTCAATTTTGTTTGTGAGGGGGACAACTTTTGCCCCAAAAATGATTGCAAAATCTTCAACCCTCTAAGCGGGGGTTGGGATCATCCCCCAACTTTTTTCAAATGGGAAGGGGGGTCAAGTGGTACCGCAATGAAAAGGGCTTTTTATTCTCTATACTTTCCCGCTTCGTTTTTGAAAATCGGTCGAGTCATTGAGAAAATATGAAGGATTGAAATTTGAAAAGTTTATTTAAACATTTATCAGAGTAAATGATAAGGATAAATTCCTTCGACCAATTTGCTGTTTTTTCTTATTATTTCTAGATGTTTACGCATTTTTTCACTTGCCACAAGGTTGAACGATCAGGTACGGCAGTTGCTAGATAGCTGTTCTGTGACTTGTGCGTTGAAGTTCTTCTCAATATCGTTAAACTTTTTAACAATTATGGTGTACTCACTTGCAGAAAAAGTGGAAATAATCGATCTTTATTTTAAAAATAATGAACGTAGCAATCGGGTTCCGCAGATATTCAATGAATGCCATCCTGAAAAACACCTTTATGGCGAAATTGTTAGCGAGTTAGTAGCAAAATTTCGCGAACCTGGTTCCGTTATGAATAAAAAGAGGCAGAGGAAAAATCCTGTAGTAAATGAAGCTATGGAGGTATTCGTATTGGGCCAAGTTGCCATGGATAGTACGCTGAGTACAAGAAAATTAGCCAATGCAAAATTAGCCGGCGTGAATCGTACCAGTGTCCAAAGGATATTAAAAAAACACAAGTTCCACCCGTACAAAATTCAGTTGGTACAAGAACTCAACGAAGACGACTTTGATCGTCGCTTGCAATTTTCTGAAATTGTGAGTGAACGAGTGGCGAATGATAATAATTTCCTATTTAATGTGTGTTTTTCAGATGAGTGTACTTTCTTTTTGAACGGTGTAGTTAATCGGCATAACTGTCGGTACTGGGCTGAGGGGTTTTACACGAGGAGCACACACAAAACCCTCAGAAATTGAACGTGTGGGCTGGTATTTTTGGAAATTCTATTTTGGGTCAGTTTAACGATATTGAGAAGAACTTCAACGCACAAGTCACAGAACAGCTATCTAGCAACTGCCGCACCTGATCGTTCAACCTTGTGGCAAGTAAAAAAATGCGTAAACATCTAGAAATAATAAGAAAAAACAGCAAATTGGTCGAAGGAATTTTATCCTTATCATTTACTCTGATAAATGTTATATTTTCTCAATGACTCGACCGATTTTCAAAAACGAAGCGGGAAAGTATAGAGAATAGACAGCCCTTTTCATTGCGGTACCACTTGACCCCCCTTCCAATTTGAAAAAAGTTGGGGGATGACACCCCCGCTTAGAGGGTTGAAGATTTTGCAATCATTTTTGGGGCAAAAGTTGTCCCCCTCACAAACAAAATTGACGTGTTTTTGGATTTTTGAAAAAAAAAATTATCCTGGCCGTTATGCCTTGCGGAACGTTTTCGATGGGCCACCCTGTATTTAAGATATCTAGGATGTGTGCTCTACATAATTTAAGACATCCTGTATGTATTAGTTTATTTTATAATATACAGGGTGAGTTTTCTACGATGTTCACTATGATTATCTCGGAAACTACTGGAGAAACAGAGTCGGTTAAATGAGGAAAGAATTAAAACTTAAAAAACTAATATCACTAAATACACTTTAAGTTATTTTAGCAAATGTTCAAAAAATCCGCCATTGTTTTGAGTACATAAAATGCATCTTTTTAAAACTTCGCCCGTACCACCTCTTCGGGTTGTTAACCATAATGCATAAAAAAATCTAAAGCAGATAGGTCAGGTGACCGAGGAGGCCCATACAACTGGTCCACCTCTTCCTAACCCTGAGTTTGCACAATTATAATATAAATAATTTTCAACGTTTCTTTCATTATTAGGAGGAGCGTCATAATAAAAGTCATGTTGGAACCACTCTATTGATGCGCGAGTCTCTAAATTTAACTTTTCTAACATGTCTTGAAAACCGTTCCCTAAAAAGAGTAAGTAACGTTCACCGGTCAACGTATCCTCGAAAACGTATGGTCCAACCAAATACGTTTAAAATAAAGTATACGCAGGGTACCGCTTAAATTCCTGTCTCGATATTGAAGGATGGGTATAGAATTTCAATGCATTTTCTACATAAGTCTATCCTTGTGTTGTAGGAGGTTTGATTAAACAAGGATGAACCTACGTCTTGAAACCATTCGACTCGATTTTCTGTCCTCCTTCAATACTGGGACGTAAATCCTCTCATTGCTCTTATGGGGAGGCCGTCGTATATTTTATTTAAATTGTATTTGGGTCCAACAATCCCACACACTTTTCTTCATTTTAGTCATATTTACAATTTAGTTGCGTCTCGATAAAATATTTTTGTTTGGATGTGACAGTTTGACATCTCTGAGAGCAACGACGATTTGTTTCCACGGCTAAGTGAAGTTTAAAAAAGATAAAAATTGGCGATAACTATAATAAAATTGGTTATCTACAACTTTTATCTGAAAACTTTTTGTCTAAAATCTATACTAATATATAAAATCCTTAAGTGACTGACTCACTGATTAATCACGATCCTGCTCAAACCACTCAACGTAAGAAGCTCAATTTTGGCATACAGGTTGATTCTAGGGTGTAGAGGTTCGATAAGAAGGGATTTTTTGAAATTCCAGTTCCAAGGGGGTGAAACCACCCCTCAAATATTACAATATTTTTTATTTAAAAAACGGTCAAGTTTCCGAAAAAAAAACGCTTAAACACGTATATTATATTTTGTTTTTTTACATATTTTAAGATTTTTTAAAAATGTATACAGGGTGTTTCGAAAAATCTGGTCATTGATTAATCACGATCCTGCTTAAAGCGGTTGACGTAAAAAGCTGATTTTTGGAAAACGGATTGACTTTAGGGTGTAGAGGTTCGATAAGAAGGGATTTTTCGAAACTCGAATACTAAGGGGGTGAAACCACCCCTCAAATATTAGAATAATTTTTATTTAAAAACCGGTGACTTTTTCGGAAAAAGTCTTAAACACGTATATTTCATTTTGTTGTTTTACATATTTTAAGATTTATTAAAAATTTATACAGGGTGTTTCATAAAATATGACCATTGAGTAATCAGGATTCTGCTTAAACTGCTTGGCGTTTAAAGCTGATTTTTAGCAAACGAATTGACTATAAGGTGCGGAGGTTCGATAAGGAGGGTTTTCTCGAATCTCAAATTCCAAGAAGGTGAAAACACTCCTCAAATATTACAATATTTGTTATTTAAAAAACGGTTAGTCTTTCGGGAAAACGCTTGGACAAGCATAATTTATTTGTTTTTTACATATTTTGAAATTTTTTAAAAACTCATACAGGCTGTTCCAAAAAGTTAGGTAATTGATTAACCACGATTCTGCTTAAACTGCTTGACGTAAAAAGCTTATTTTTGGCAAATGGATTTTTCGAAAGTCATATTTCAACGAGATGAAACTACCTCTCAAATATTACCAAGTTATATAATAATATCGCCATATTGTTTTTTCTCATGCTGACATAAATGTGAAAATTTTATCCAATTTGTATGTTAATGGAAATTCTTGCTTTGCTTTATCATCACCATTACAAATGATTAATTCGACGCGAACGAAGTCGCGGGTACACGCTAGTAGATTATAATGGAATTAGGGGGCATTTTTTATTTTTTTTCGAAATATCTAGTAAGTCATAATTTTTTGCAAAAATTAGAAAAGCGCATATGTTGGTCCTCATAAAACGGCAATTCTTTCCCCCTTTTTCCCGACCCTCTAGCTCCAGTAGTTTCTGAAATACCCAGAGAGAACGTCGTAGAAAACTCACCCTGTATTATTATGAGAGAAATCGAAACTAAAAAAAGTATTCAACAATTGATATATTAGAAAAAAGTTTTCAAAATAGTATACCTAATACATCATTAAGTTCGAATATCCTATAGTTATAATAGTATCATTTAGAGATCTTAACGATTTCAGAAAATTGTTAAGTTACTCTATTTTGCTCATTAGCTCTGAATTCTTCTACCGCAATAATTACAATACTGATTAATCAATTTGCTAAGCTTCTCCGACGACTATCAAAATAAAAAGTAATTACGGTAATTCGCACAAAAAAGGTATAAAGATTAGTTAAGAGAGCAGGTTCTCATGCCAAGTTGATTTGCTAAATATGTTAATTGCACAAGAAATTTCAAGAATGCATTAATTACTTGAAAAAAGGCGCATCTGTTGTGACTAAAGGCAGAAAAAAATACTGGAATTAAAGACTTTCCTTAAAAACAAAAAAGCCTGTAAATATTTAAAGACGTAAATCAAAATGTTTAATAATAAAATGTGACTTTGTATCAGAATCTAATGCTAATAAATATATAATTGAAGATTTGAAGTAAATAATATTCTAGTTGCCAATGTGTAGTGCTGGCGCAGCACTGCACTATAAAATATACAGGGTGGTCCGAACTGTATTCCGGAAACTTCGGCAGCATATTCTCCAGATAAAAATAAGTAAAAAAAATCGTATAAATGTATGTCCTAAAATGCTTAGATTCGGAGATACAGGGTGTAGAAATTTCATTTTTATTTCGATTTTTTCAAATAATTTCTGAAGTAACGTCAATATTTGGATGAAAATTAGTATCTGGGACTTTTTTGACATGAGAAATTTGATATTGGTGTCAATATGACTCCTACTTGTAGAGGGCGCCACCTGCATATTTTTTAACTGGTTTGATGAGTAATAACTTTTCGTCCGTACCTGTATAGAATTACTGAGTGAAAAAATATACATTTCCGTGATTTTATAAGTAAAAAATGTCTCTTAATAAAAATCGTTACGAGCAACCGTTCTCAAGATATTTAGAATAAAATTAGTGAATACATGTCATTATTGACTAAAAAGAAACATGGGTATATAGTTATTTGACTGAAATGATAAATTTGGATTTTTTTTAAATTAATCATAAATTTTTTTTGGAAAAAATAATGATAAAAGTTTCTGTTGAACTTTAGGCACAAAAACATTTCAAATTTATAATTTCGGTCTAATAACTATTTAGTCAACATGTTTAATTTTTAAGTCAACGATAACAGGTATTGATAAATTCGATTCCAAATATCTCGAGAACCATTATTCGTAGCGATTTTTATCAAGAGATCTTTTTTACGTAAAAAACGTTGTAAATGTATATTTTTTTACTCGTTAGTTTTTTACGCGTACGGACGAGAAGTTATTACTCTTCAAATCAGTTAAAAAATATATAGGTGGCGCCCTCTACCAGTAGGAGTCATATTGACATCAAAATCCAAATTTCTCATATCAAAAAACTCCCAGACACCAATTTTCATCCAAATATTGACGTTACTACAAAAATTATCATACCAATTGTTATACCAAACCAAAACTAAGCATTTTAGGACATATATTTATACGAAGTTTTTTAATTATTTTTGTCTGCAGAATATGCTGCTGAAGTTTCCGAAATATAGTTGGGACCACCCTGTATGTTGATACAAGAATAAATCTTATCTTTATGTGAGGAACCTCACCACGAGAGATGGCACATGTTTTTTGAGACACCCTGTTTGATAAAAAGCATTCCAAAAAATTAAAAAATGTGAATGTATTTTTAACATACCTTCAAGTAACCCAATTAGAAAAGCCAAATTCGATTGACACAGTGCCGTTTTCAGTTTCTTCTCTATGATTATCTTGCTAAACAAATCAATTAGCTGTTGAGCAACACTGCACACAGCTACATACAATTTTAGAAATACAATTGGTACTTTAAAAATATTTTTAACTGAAACAAAAAAAATTGATTATTGAAGTAAACTAGGCAAAAACGTGTAAATTTCTCAGAAATATTATTATATAATTTTTTTGGAAATATGAGCTTCAATGCTTGTTTACATTTAAATTGAAAAAAAAATATTTATAAAAAAAAATATTTTTCATAATGATTATTAGGCGTTATAATTAATAAAAAAAACATTATCTTGAAAAAACAAAAACAGTTAAAAAATAGTTTTAGGCTGACGTGCTACTTACACAGATAAAACAAGCATTCCGAAAACAAAACTGGACTGAAGCTGCTGCTCGAACTATCCAAACATTGTCTATATGAAACTCCAAAATTATCCTTAAATATGTTACTATGGAACGTTTTAGGCGTAACCTGATTAATGCCACTATGCATCTCTAAACCCTCTTCTGCTAGATCGATTTTACTAAACACAAAAAAGATATTCAAAAAATATTTAAAATAGATTTATTAAAAAAACTAACTCTGGCTTCTGCTTGGCGATAGAGTTAAAGAATGTTGCCATAAACGAATCCAGATGTTGACCCTTTTCTTTTCTTAATTTGTACGCCACTGACTGGTAAATATTTCCTATATCCTGATTTGTAGCTGCCAGGGTCGATATTACTAAAAAAAAGTAATTACCAAGAAATTGAAAAATTGGGAGTGTGGCAAAAAAATTACCTAAAGTAAAATCTTCATCGTGGGTAAGGAATGTATGTAATAAATCGCTACCTCTTAAGCTCGGCTTTTGTAACAGTTTCATGATAAAGTCTTCGTACTTTGCCATGCGGGATTCTATAGCTGATCCGGCTCTAAGTATCAATAAAGAGTCAGTAAATTAGAGACGCACGTAAACCCATATACGTATTACTTTTTACAAATATACTCAGCCTAATCTCCAAAAAGTGAAGCCCAAACAGTGAAAGAACAATATGGAATTCTGCATAAGTCTATTTCACCCGGATATTCATTTAACTGAGCATGCCTCACCTGAAGAAGTTTTCATTGGTCGATGTTTTTAAAGGGAAGTGGTTCACTGACATTTCCCCTAACCTTCAATTTGATTTATATTTTTATTATTTATAACACATTATCATGGAGTTGGAAAAATATAAAAAATAGTTGGAAACAATAAACTAAACAAAATCACTCTTTTACGCGCACAAATAAAAAGTAATACAAACAGAACTAAAACAACAATCAATCGGAGTTTGGCGCAATCGCAGTTCAATCCATATCCGGGTGAAATAGACTTATGCAGTTTTAATATGGAGCTGGGTTATGTTGTCTTTTTCTTATGGCACAGAAATTGCACACGGGGTTAAATAGGGAACCCTGAGTATATTTGTAAAAAGTAATACGTATATGACGGAAATCACGTCATAATAGGCGTACAAAATAACTGTTCAAACATTACTTTGTCAATTGATGTAGCTTTTGACAGTGACAGTTAATTGCAAAAAAACAGTTTCACATAAAATATCCTTCCTCATTGGTATTTTAAATTCAAGATAATTTTTGCAATCCTCCAGTATTCAATATTTCAGCGATCAACATAGTAAAACTCCACTTAGAATGCTATTATAGAGGGTGTTTCAAAAAACATATGCCATCTCTCGCGGGCAGGGAATGCAATCCCGCAAATGCGGGATCAAAGTTGCGGGATTTATCGTGCGGGATCCGCGGGATCGACACATTACTACTAGGTAACCAAATCGATCTCGATTAAGGTCAAACCGCTTCATTCCGGGCCGATGCGTCGACGCTCGGAACCCGGGGGATTCCCCTTACGGCTTGACCATTAAAAATAAGTGAAACAAACTTCTGGCGTAGGTATGTGTGTAAGTGAAGAAAAGCGTTTACCTAGTACTTGTGGACAATTTCGTCAAATAAACTGCCGGACATAATTATCGGGACAAGCAAAAATTTAGGGTAAATTTAAAGTTGAATGTCTCTTGAACTAAAAAAGATTTTGGGATGCGGTTTGGACCAGGTTTTAGATGCATCTATTGTGATTAAGATGCTATGTGGTTTTCGAAAATATATTTGCGAATTCTCGTATACAGGGTGTTTTATAAGAGTGTGAAAATTTAACCAAGAATTTTTTTACGGCAAATTTACAATTTTAAAAAAATCGAAATTTTTACCAAGTACGACTAATCTGTATTGAAATTAGAAAAAACAATTTGATCGGTTTTTTATTTTTTTTTGTTTTAAGGAAAATACGACGTTTTTTCGAAAAATATGCATTTTTAGTCATACGTATGGTCCCAAATGGTACAAAAAGCTTTGTACATTCTGCATAAAAGCAGATAACTAACACAAGTTAAAAAAACTTCAACATCAGAATAATATTTTTATTTATAAAATAAGTAGATAAATTATAATAAAATTTTAGTTTATTTAATATTAAATATATTTTTTGAACACCCTGTATACATCGGTCCAAATTTCTGTACAGCTATAGTTTAAGATACACGGTATATCAATATATTGTGGGCCTATGCAAAATGTACAATGCCTTTTGTACCATTTAGGACCAAATGTATGACTATTGTTTACAGTCCCGCAATTTTGCGGATCCGCGGGATTGATTGCTTTAATCCCGCGGGTTTGCGGGATTGAGATTTTGGTGCGGGATTGCATTCCCTACTCGTGGAGAAATTCCTTACGTAAAAATACGATTAATTTTTTATATCAACTAAGTCCGATTCTTCTTTGTTTCGTAGCTACTTCGTAGCTACCAAAGTTTTCTTTTTTTTTCGATTTATTATAATTTCCTTCGAAGTGTCTTTAGCAATTCGAATGACATTTTGAAGGTAAAAGTTAACTATAAATACTTAAACTGAAGTATTATATAATCATCTGCCGATGATGCTAACATATAGTTAGCGAAACGTGCGTCTAGTGTAAAAGTGTTTTGGTGTATTGCGGTGATTTAGTGTTTTGTTTTGCTGTGTAACGCCAAAGGTTCCATCCCCCAAGTGTAATCTATAAATACTACATATTTTAATACTAAAAGTGTCGACATATTCGTCACCAGAAACGTGCATAGTGTTATCACCGGAATATTTTTCCAAAAAGGAATCTGTGTGCGCTACTGATTTTTTTGTTTTATCAGCAAAATTGTGTAGGACGTTATAATGCCGATTAAAATGTGTATCTTTCTATTTTGGTAATTTTGATCTCCTTGATGAAATAAATGTATTTTTTTTATCTGCGTTAAACCAAGTTTATTAGTATTATTTAAAAAAAATAATGTCATTAACTGGATAAAGTATTAAATAAGTACCGGGTAGCCAAATAAGAATGGACGCCGGCTGTATCTCAGATCACTTATCGTATAACTTTGGGAAAAAAATTCTTTAAACGGCCTACACAATAAATAAATAAATAAATGCCTTTATTGTCAAAAATTGTTTCTATTTGTAAACAAAGGTAAACTAAACAAACAAAGTAAACAAACAAGGTACACAAACAAACAAACAAAAGATAATACAAAACATCATACGTAAATAAAAATGCAAATAGCTCATATGCAAGTTCCTGGTAAATCTGTCAACATTTTTTAGCATTAAATTAAGTAATACCTAAAGTAACTTTCACTCTCCAAATGTCATTCGAATCACTACAGGCGCTTGTAAGAAAATTATAAAAAATCGAAAAAAAGAAAACTTTAAACCTCTGTAGATATGAAACAAAACAGAAGCAGACCTATGTTGATAAAAAATAAATCTTATTTTAAGAGAGCAATCTTTTAACGAGTTTTTTACATGATTTTTGAAATACCCTGTATAATATTACGCATCTGTAAGAAAAATATACGTACTTTCTAGAAGGCAATGGCGAATCACAAATCTCATCTTCCCCATGAAATTCTACCAGTTTCGACTTCAATGTAAAGAAGTCCTGATCTTTCCGCCACACAATCCAGTTGTTAATTTTGTGGTCAGGTGTAGAATTGTCCACATGTAGAACGTTTAAGCAAAAGTACGTTACTTTGTTTGGTGTTACCTGAAATTATCCACTGTAATAAAGTATCAAGTATAATATCAGTTGCATTGTAATAATGCAACTGATATTATACTTGTCCAATGCTTGATGGATTTGTTCATCTCCTGTTTGGAAGTATTGTAGATGCAATTAGTACCGGAAAGTGATTATCTTAACTCTCTGTCAGATATTTTGTGTGTGGGAATGTAGAAAATCCGATATAAAGTGACTATGATTTGCGTACATTGCGTATGGGTATTAGGAGCACAAAGATTTAAATGATTTTTTCACAAAAAAATCAGCTACTTAGTTGTATCAAAAGATGTTAAGAAGGTAATCATGCTTAACAGCCAATCTATTTTCTAAAATAACAAAACCAGTAAATTCCAACGAAGGATTGGCTTAGGTTGGGCAGCACTTGGTAAGCTGAAAGATGATTTTAAATTGAGAAAATTTTAACAGCCGTACACATGCTTAATGTGCGAATAACTACTATAGCCTTGCTGAAAAATGCGTACACATGAAGTTAAGTGACGACCAATGTGTTTCACCAGTGTTAATATACAGATTGTTAACTGGACGGTTACTTATTGGGGAACAGAATGGCAACACTGCCTGCATTCCAAATGAGTACTAAGCGAAGCTGCCGATTGGTCTCGTCGCGTCGTCTCTCGACGAGCGGGCCGAGGTTGCCATAATTCAGCCATAAAGCTCTTGCCGCGAGTAATAAACAAATTAACAACCTGTATACGGTGCAGGAATTCTTAGACTCACCCAGGAAACTCTTTACAAACTAAGAGTTGTCCAAAAAAATAGAATAAATTTCAAGATCAAGTCAAAAATATCGATATTAAGAAAACAACTAAAGTAGAGGATATCGGTCTCCCCAAATTACAGAACTCCAATGGAATTTGGACGAACTCAGATGGTTACTACGAATTTAAACCAAGACCAATATCTTGTAATTTTTTTTTTATTTAAAACAATCATTTGTAACTTGTTTGTAATTTATATTTTGAAGTTCAGAAGATAACGATATAACGGCAAAATATATTAATAATTATTTCTCAGTATCGCAAGTCACACACTATTGCTTACGATGTTCAGACAAAATGCGCGGTTGCAATGGTTGCAATAAAGTGGTGTCATTCTTTGTTCTTTTGGTGCACACATATAACACACAAGTGCTGCGTTTTAGCACTTGTTGTGTGTTTAGGTTAGGTTAGGTTAGGGGGTTCCTGTAAATCTGCCTGCAGAGCAATTTCTAACATATCACTGATCAGAAATTTCAAAAGTGAGCGTTGGTTGCTTAAACAGTGCTCTAGCTACGATCTTTTAACTTGTTCATGAAGTTTTATCATAAATTTCATTCTTGTTATAGGTTTACCCCCTTTCTTTTTAGATTGTGATTAAAAATAAATCAAATTTTTGTGTCCAGTGAGTCAGTGAGTCAGTTAGTTAATGTCGACGATAATGTCATTTGGAAGTTGTCAGATAAAAAAGTTCCAACGTAATTTCAATAGAAAACTAAAGTGTCACCTATAGGATAATGCTCTGCAGAACTTGCTGAGAGAGAATGCTGCAATACTCTTGACGGCGTATAGATACAAAAAATACATAGAAAATATAGCTAATTATGGACACATGCATATACAACAAAAACATACAGGTGTTCATTAGTGTCTTGTATTAAGTTATAAGTACGAAATTCAAGAGATCGTAAAAAAACTAATCAACTCGAGAGCAAAAGCACATTGTTTGCAATATGACGTCAATTCACAAATTCATCAAGTATTTGACAAGTTGCGGTTATAAGAATTAAAAAAAGGTACTTCAGATGTAGGAATGGTGACTCTCCAGCTGCTAAGGTCACGAATTAGATTTTCGTTTAGAATTAAATCTTCCGAAATACCATTCTCGATAGCTTCCAGAGAGTCCAGAGAACCTTCTACCGGAATTTGTGTTTTTAAAACACCTTTTATTTTTCCGAAGCTGCTGCTAATCTTCGATACTGCACTATAGTTGGATTGTTCATAATATTTCTTGCTCCTAAAAATTCATGGTTTTACTTTGCCTTCTTATCAAACAGATTATCCTCGATGAGAATTACAACTTATCAAATAGGCAATCTGGTAAGATATCTGGCAATTTTGTTACCGGGCCGCACGATAAAGTATGAACGTGTTTAGTGGAAATCAATGACTGAAGAATACAAAGATGCATAATACGCATATACGGGCTGGAGCTAGGGTTGTTAGATTGTTATAGATAAATTCTGGGATAGTAAGAATAAAAAACAGTAACTCTCTAAAAAATATACATCACCAACCCGTTCCTATTCCACATTTGCGGGAATAGTGTGTGAAAACTAAATTAAAACAAATCATAGTCAAAACATGTTTTATTTACACAAGCACAAACAACATAAAAGGATATATGTACATATACCGGGTGCGTCTCAAACGTGGCTCACCCCTATAATTTTTTTTATTTTTTCAGATAAAAAAACGAGATTTGGTGTGTTAGTATACGACATAAGGATTCATTGACGTATTCAATTTTTTCCTGCCACTTCCTGTTTTACCGGAAATGATTACAACTTTTGATGTTTAAATGACCGGCCGGTTAAAAGATGTCCAAATCGTTTTTTATTCATATCTCAATTTTTTTCAAATGGAACGAGGGTGGCTCATTAGCATATTTGAAAAAAGCATTTTTTTACGAATAATTTGATGCCACACACTTGATATTTCGAAAAATCAAATTGTCGTTATCAATCGCATGTTGCAATATCAAATAAACCATATTCAAACATGTCAAAAGTTGACACATGATATGTCATTCTATTCAGAGTGTCATTTTCTATCAAATAAAGTAACAAAATAGAGAGGGTGTCATTTGAAAATCAAAAGTTTTAGTCATTTCCGGTGAAACAGGAAGTGACCGAAAACAATTGAATACGTCAATCAATCCTAATTTATGTCATATACTAACATACCAAATTTCGATTTTGGGTGTGTTGTAATGTTCTATTTTGTCGACGCATTGTGTTGTTGAACATAAAACATATATCTTTCACCTTTTTACTAGTATGCAATTTTGTCATTGAAAATTTTAATGACGCGCCTATCTACAACATGAATTTCGTATTTGGCTCACCCTATATACTAAACAAATTAACATATTTGCATAAGTTCTAAGAACATTATAATAGAAAAAAACTTTTGGTTAAAAGGTATCAATAATCTCCCATTTTATAATTTTAATGCCCACTTGCACCGTTTGTATAAACTTTGTATAAAGGCTAAACAGTGATTAACTATAATAAGATATTATATAGTTAATCACTGTTTCACTTGCACCGTTTGTATAAACTTTGTTTAAAGGCTAAACAGTGATTAACTATTATAAGATATTATATAGTTAATCACTGTTTAGCCTTTAAACAAAGTTTATACAAACAGTGCAAGTGAAACACTGATTAACTATATAATATCTATTAATTAAATTTATTAATTAATTATTAAACTATATTTAATTAACTATATAATAAGATATTATATAGTTAATCACTGTTTAGCCTTTAAACAAAGTTTATACAAACGGTGCAAGTGGGCATAAGGGACTTAAATGTACAGAAAATATTGCATAAAAACAAAAGTTTCAAAAATCAACTGGTATACTTTATGACAAAATACATTTTTTGAAATGGAAATTTTATAGTCAAGCCACTCAGTAAAGTTTTAAGCAAATATATAACATTCCATTTAAATACTGCAATTTTTTTTTATTTATTTTTATTTAGTACATACCAAAAATTAATCAATTATCCTCTGTATTTTGAAAAACTATTTTTATTTAAATATGGCTGCTCATTTTGTAACAATTGAGATTAAGATTATATAAAATATAAGAGTTGTTTTATAAAATTCACTAGCATTAGTTCAGCCATTTTAAAAGTTAATGAAAAATAAATATTATTCAGTATTGGGAAACTCAACTCCACTGTTCCAAAAGTAACAATCTAGCATGAAAATGTGTTTTTCCACCAAAAAAAAATCTAAGAAAACTTAAAGATAAAAAAAAGATATATTTATACATACCTATCTTTAATGGGAGACCCAAAACCAATAAGCTTTGTTCTGTGTTAGTAGCAAACAAAAAAGCAGATTAGTCATATTCCAATATATTAATAAAATACTTACTTGATAGAAGCTTTGTGATAAGTAGCACTAACTTTTGATCCACATATATAATTATAGAACTAAAACAGAATATAAACTTATTACTCTTGATATTATTATAAAACTCTTATGCTCACTTCATTACTGTGGAAAAAATGGGGTAACCAAATACTCTCTAAATAATTAAAGGCATATTCATAAGCCTGGTATAAAGGCTTTGACGTTCTTAATTGAGCCACACTGTAGATATCCTTAATTAATCCATTAAATTGATCGCAAATTTCCTTAGAACAGCCAATAAAACTTATAGAATCTTCACTTAAGTATTCCTTATACAAGGATATAGCTTGAGAATGTAAGTCTTCTAATTGTTTTTTGGTCAAATCAGGTGTCAGTAATTTTGTATTGAAATCATCTTCATAAAACAATTATATTATTTTAGAATAATAATATCTATAATATGCTTACCAACATCTAAACAGAATTGTAATATATGAACTTGTTCCTCCTTTTTAAGGAATTGCATAAATGCATACAATAATTCTACATTGTTTTTAATTTTATTTAAATTGATGGCTAAAGATGAGGTACTGTTATCGTCAACAGCAATAAAATTCTCTAGAAATTCTACATTGTTAGCGGTTGATAAAACTTTAGATGACTTTCCTGGCCTATAGTTAGTTGCTATTATTACTAAATGGTTTATAATATTAGGATCAGCTAAAACATCCATTAGTGGCAGTAAAACCCAACCTGCTAATATTTCTCTTAACAATACTGAATAATTTCTAAAAACATAATTAGTAATCAATATTATTTAAATAACAAAAACAAATATTAACCCTTACTTGCATTTTATATAATGCTCAGGCAATAGCTGTTTAATAAGTTCACTACTAAGATGTTGTAAATATTCTAGTTCATTCTTTCTATTCGTAATTGCTGGATGTAGTTTTTTTCCTAAATATTCCACCACTACATCATTAAACTTTACATTTTTCAGTTTAGCAATTTGTTGCATGTAAAGATAATCATCAATGTGCTTAATTGCCTAGATATTTTGTTTATAATTAGTGTCAATTAAATAAACATATAAAAAATTACCTGTGGTACCAATTTGTTTGTAATCACATTTATATAATCAATTTGAAAAAATCGATTTATTAATGTGGCACTGGCATATTTTAAACAAAATCGTAATTCATTTGGAAAATCTTTACTATCTGTGAACTGATTATACCAAGATGAAACAAATGTATTTAAAATTCTTTCATAAAACTACAAATCAACTATATAAAAAGATTATTCTATACTAATTATCAAAACATACATGTATGATAGCTTCATTCAATTCATCACTAATTTGTATAATTTTCCATGGTCTCAGGTCTTTGGTTATTTGATGTCTTTTACATGTAAGATCATCACAAACACTACACGAAGACTTTATTTTTTCCCTAATCGATGACCGATTGTTGTACACACTTACAAGTTTTTCTAGATAAGCAACTACATAAGGTTGATATTCAATTAGTATAAATGATATAGCATAACCCAGAATATACCACAACAGAACTATTAATCCAGATGCATAGCTAGAAGAGCACATAGTATACTAAATACATTGTTTATTAATACATATACTCTATATTTACCCTAATATTAAGGAATGCACTATACAGAGAAATAATATAATTATCACTGAATATTTAATATATTTATCTTTTTTAATTAAATTTAAAACTTCTAAAACAGCTTTCATCTTTCATATTCAATTTATTTTACATGTTTGTTTACAAATTTTGCACTTGTCAAAATCAGCTGTTTTTGTTGATTTTATATTGATCTGTGGAGAATCCATGACAGTTAAGACAGTCGAAATACTAAAAAATAAAAGGCAAAATTGTCAACTTGTCAGAAACATATGATTTCATACTGACAGCTGACCGTAAACACTTGAAAAACATTTAAAAATTGAATAAAAGGTAAGTGGAAATTAATGTAACCATGATTTAACATTTATTTACTATTGCTTGTTCCGAGTTGCTTTTAACTGTTTTAACTCCAGAATATCGTCTTTCCAAGGCATTTCATAAGGGGAGTAGCTAAAAAGAGACATAGTGGTTGTGGTGGTATAGTTGTTCTAGGGAGTTAAATATGGGAGATAAATATAAAAGAATGGTCGAGAAAAAACATTATTTACATAGCAGCATATTCCATCCAACTTTACGAGATTGGCAATCGTTGAAAAGTGAACTTACACCTAGCAATTTCATGTATCCAGTTTTTATTATGTAAGTATAGGTGTTCTGATATAATTGATATACTAAATAAGTAGTACTTTTAAGAGAAAATGATAATGAAGTACAGGCCATACCAAGCATGCCCGGTATAAGTCGTTATGGTATTAATAAACTTAAGGAGCATTTGCAAAATGTTATATCAAAAGGCTTAACTTCAATTCTGGTTTTTGGTGTTATAGATTCCTTAGCAAAGGTAATTTCATGATAACTTACATATTGCCATGTTAATGAAAAAAACCCTATCTAGTGCAACAAATTATGATCTTTCTTGTTAATAAGGGACTTTTATATAACTATTAGATTTGCATTTGAACTGAAACTATATTTGATTAAATTCACAAAATAAAACAAGGTAAGATGATGTTTTTGCTTCTCACACACACATACATTTTTTTTAGTTGGTAAATAAGTACCTTAATCTTTTTAATGACACACTTGTATCTCAATTGTAGTTGAGGCATTTTTCGTTAATATGGCAGTAATGGTCTAAGGGAGTCTATTGAAATAATTTGCTTTATCGTTAAACAAGATCTTATACAGGGTTGTTCACCACATACAACACAGAGTATTGTAGCTAAACGATTAGATTTTTACAAATTCTAAGTTTTGGGTTCATTGAAGGAGTATTAGAGCTACAATTTAAAAATAATTTTACAAGATACAGAGTGTCCCTAATAAGTAAAAAATATTATAAGTAGTTGTATTTTTTTTAAATGGAACACCCTGTATATTATTCTATTTTTAGATTCTACGATTGAAATAAAGGTAAAGTTGATTAAGGTTTATCACACTTAAACCTTACCGTTTTTGAAATATTTTCAATTTTATGAAATTGCAGTAAAATTTTTAAGGTTTCATTTCTCCAAGGGTATCAAAGTTTTTAATATTAAATATTACTGAAGATTATTTATTAATTAGATATTGTGTTGCAATAATAAAAATTATACTACCTTATACAGAGTGTCCAAAAATGTATATTATATAATTACAAGCAATAACTTGTTTAATTTAAATGAAGCACCCTGTATATTTTACGTGAATCAGATGCACAATTTAATTATCCATCAAATTGTATTATACCATTTTTCCCTATCTCTTCAAATTTTCGTAGATGAAATGAAAATGCATTTTTTATTAATTAAAACGTGATTAATCACTATACCCATGGAATATTGACATTTTAGATTTTTCTAAAGCAACATATTTACAAAATGTACAGGTGGTAAAACTAATAATAATGTAAACAAGCCCATTTGTTTACAAAAAGAAATCTTTGTGAAAGAGTACCTATACCAATTAAATATACCAGCATTATTTCCGCCCAAAATTTAGTTAATTACATACTTAATTGTTTTAATTAATTAATATATATTCTAAATAAATGTGGATTTGACTCAGAAATCAATATTATAATAAGTTATGAAAATTAACGTCTCTGTTGTTAAGCATTCGTTAAAAAATGAAATAAAATTTATAAGGTGTTACTTTTTACCACACTGTCTAATACACATACAAAATTCAGTTTTTTGTATTTGGAGCAACTATTATTATTAATCAACGTAAATGTAGTTTGAATACTGGGATCATATTAATTAGCCCTCTTTAACAAAAAATATTTAAAGTTTTCTTTATTTTTTAATGAAATAAGCGAACTATATCTTTTGATAGACAATTAAATTGTACATCTGATTCTCCTAAAATATATAGGGTGTTCCATTTAAGTTATTGCCGTTTAAAGCTAGTAATCATTTAATATAAATTTTTAGACTAAATGAAGCCTTAAAATTTTTACTGCAATTTCATCAAATTGATATGAATATTTCAAAAACGGTAAGGTTTAAGCGTGATAAACTTTAATTAAATTTATCTTTATTTCACTCGTAGAATCTAAAAATAGAATAATAGGTATACAGGGTGTTCCATTTAAAAAATACAACTATATATTCTTAATTATTTGGGAGATCCTGTATCTTGTAAAAATACTTCTAAATTTAAGCTCTAATAGTCCTTCAACGAACCCAAACAATTTGTAAAAATCTAATCGTTTAGCTACAATACTCCGTGTCTTATGTGGTGAACAACCCTGTATTAATGTACCACAACTGAAGGGCCCAGGGAAAAACATGATAAGCGCCAATTTCTTAATTTTAGGGTTTTACAATATTATAGTAGGTCTAAAGGTACATTCAGGCTGAGAGCGTCGAGCGTCGCGTCGCGTTTGCGTCGCGTCCGCGTGTCGAAATGGAATCAATTCACTTAACTTAAATTAAACCGTCCAGGTAGACAGCGTCGCGTTTGGCCTTGCCCTAGCGTCCGCTGAGCGTCGGGGTTCGAGTTGAATGGGGCGGACGCGACGCTCGACGCTCTCAGCCTGAATGTACCTTAATTGCAGTGCGATTCCTTCTGGGACTGCAGTAAGCTCCGTAGCAAGAAATTTCTTGCCTAGCCTATGTTATTTTTATACAATTGATGAGTCACTAGACAGGAAATATGTTTACAGAATCGCACTGCCTAACCACATAATGTATAAGCTTTGCAGGGCAATAATCTTTTAAATCCTTTGATATATGTCTATTAAAAATTTACATACAGGGAGACAACCTGATAACAAACAGCCATCCAGTGGTTTCCTGTAATATTAGTAAAATCGCGCTTATCATGTTTTCTTCCTGGACCCTTTAACTATAATTACTTCAATTTTAAATTTCTAAATTAATAGGATGAACAGGCTACAAATGCCGACAGTTCTCAAAATCCCGTAATAAAAGCATTACCCAAACTGCGAGCGTGGTTCCCTAATCTTGTTATAGCTTGCGATGTTTGTTTATGTCCTTACAGCAGTCATGGGCATTGTGCGATTTTAAGTGAAAATGGCACTATCGATAATCCAAAAAGTATTAAAAGAATTGCCGATATCGCCTTATCATATGCCAAAGCAGGTATCATAGTACTTGATCTATTAGGTAATTTTTTAATGTAATTAATATTTAGGTGCTCATATTGTGGCACCATCTGACATGATGGATGGAAGAATAGGGGCAATTAAAACATTATTAATAGAAAATAATCTTCAAAATAACGTGGCGGTGCTCTCTTACACTTGCAAATTCGCATCGAATTTTTATGGACCTTTCAGAGATGCTGCTAAATCAAAACCATCATTTGGTGATCGAAAATGTTATCAATTACCTCCAGCAGGGGAGGGCGTTGCAATTAGAGCTGCAGCCAGAGATGTTGAAGAAGGTATGATCGTTGATTGAAAGAATTGGGAAGATACGCAACCTAATGGACGAATTCGTGACGAGGCTGATTTGATTTCACCCATAGATAAAAGAAAATAATCTACTATTAAGATAGATATGAAACTTAATAGTAAAACTTTGGGTCAAAGCGCCCCTCCGTGTTTTTAGTAGAGACTACGTTTAACCCAGCACCTTCGCCTTTTTTGCTGTAAATATTTTTTATGTTTATATTTGAATTCAAAGGATTTATTTTTAAAGTTACACTGATATATTAGTATATCAGAGTAACTTTAATAAAACATAAGAATATATATATTTTACAGTTTATTTTTTTATATATTTTACAGAGTTTCATATAAATGGTCGTAAGTTGACTGGCTGTCTAATGAATAGACCGAGATTTATATATTTTAAAGCGAACGAAAAAAAATGAAACAACGAATACATACCATATATTTTTCGTTTATCTAAGATACATACCTTATTGTCTTTTGGAAACACGTGCAGTTTTGTTAGTTTCTTTGCAAGATGCAACACAACAAGAAAACACCTATGATATTTAAAATTTAGATAGATAGAAAATTAAAAAACAAACTGGTATTGGCAGACGCAGGCCCAAATTCAATAAAAATCAAAATTTTTCCTGCGAAAATCGGGCGTTTTTTTACTGAAAAGGTATTTTTTGATTTATCAGCAATCATTGTCAAGTTGACAATATACAGGGTATTTTCTAATTAGTCTAAAAAAATTGTGGTATGATTCCTCATGTGTTCTTAAAACAATTTTTATATAACCGTTGGATCTAAAGTACTTCCTTTCTGATATACAGGGTGTTAAAAATTAAAAAAAAAAACGATTTTTTTGCTTAACATAAATGGTATACAAAAAAAAATCGTGGGTGTTTGGGAAGGCTTGAAAGGAAACAATGTTTTTGCGGCGTTTGAATCGCCATGAATGTTTGTAGGCATAATGTGGATTAATATATGTTTTGGTGCCTGAAGAAGCGACGATAAAGTCGCGAAACGTCGCAAAAACATTGTTTCCTTTCAGGCCTTCCCAAACACCCACGATTTTTTTTTTCTGCGTATTACCTACTGGGAACTAACAATAATCATAATAAATGGTACACCACTGGTTTTTTAAGGAAAATATATTTTTTTCTTGACTGGCCACATCCTTTTTCAACAAAATTGATCTTTTGAGTTTTTCTTGTTCATCAAACGGTTGTCGAGAAAAAAATAAATATACTTATTAAGAGCCCGCCTTAATCCGTTTTCTAACGATTTTTTATTTTTTAGATTAATTAGGAAACACTCTGTATATACATATCACAGGCAACCAAATAAACTAGTAACCTCTAAAAATTATTTTTCCTACCACTAGCGACATACCGTGTTTTTAGTATGTACTAAATTATTTTATCAAAATTTCACCATATAAGTTTCCAGGCAATGATTTCACCTTACGTTTCAAGTGCTGTACGGTGGAGACACCAATCCTTCTGCGGCCAACGCATAAAACACTTATTTTCTCTAATGGTGGGTTCATACACCCAAATAAAATAAAATAAGAATAAAATAAAATAAGAAATAAGGAATTCTTATTTGTGTGCGTTCATACAGTCAAATAAAATAAAATAAGAAATATATATTTGCTCATGCGCAGTACGATGACGCTGGATAAAAGTTAACTTTTACGATTGTTTATAGTAATTTTACTATTTATAGTATATTTATTTATTCGTTGCCTACTATATTATACATTTTACTTATGTGAAATTATAAAATAAATTAAATCCAAACTGAAAATATTTGTAGGTTAGAATTAAGCGTGCGCAAAGCCGTTTTCACATAAAATAAAACAAGAAGTTAAAAGATAAAGACTTCTTATTTTATTTGTTATTTTATTTGGCTGTATGAACGCATGTACGGTATCCCATATAACCAACTTTCTTATTTTATTTTATTTTATTCTTATTTTATTTTATTTGGCTGTATGAACCCACCATAACTCGGCCAGCGAAGGCATATCGAAGACGGCGTGGAACTGAAAGCGACAGTGTTGCCATATTTAAAATGTGTAATATCTGTAATACTTTTGACGAAAATATTTTCACATGAAAAATTCGGGTTTATGTATTGAAAATTTATTTGTGTTATACATAGAATAAACAATAAAAATAAAAATAAAAATTCTTTTATAGGTACTAAATATGTCGTATGATCGAAAAAAGTCATTTAGTTGGCTTGGAAATGACGATTATTGACATTTTCCATAATTTTTTACATATGAGGTAACAGCGACCTTCATTCTAATTAATATACTAAATAAGTAGTACTTTTTAGAAAAAAGGATGACAAAGTACAGGCCATTGCTACATAAATCGTTATAGTGTTAATAAACTTAGGAGCATTTGCACATTGTTATTTAGAAGCATTTGCACATTGTTACTTAGAAGCATTTGCGCATTTGCAACAATTGTTATATCAAAAGGCTTAACTTCAATTCTGGTTTTTGGCATTATAAATTCCTTAGCAAAGAATTTTATGATAATTTACATATCTAATCTGCCATGTTAATGAAAAACCCCTATCTGATGCAACAAGTTGTGCTCTTTCTTGTTAATATTTGTAAATAGGGTACTTTTTTTATAACTATTAGATATTAGATTTGTACTTGAGCTAGCGAGATAACAGCGATCTTCCAAGCCAACTCTGACGCCGTTCTTTGTTTAATGATAGAAAAGCCGTATTATATTAACGTACTGTACCCAAAATCCGTATATGTACGGATTTATCAGTAGTTCTGGCAACACTGTCTCTGGACACAACTTACTCTGTCGACTGAATGCAGAACTACTGTATAGTTTATCTGCGTAAACGGCTAGCAATTAGCAGCGGCGCAGAGCTTAACTAAATCTTTGACAGGCTGACGGTAAGCACATTTACAATACCTCCTATGTGACACCGATTACTCGTCTCTACCAGTTAGGAATTGCACTGCGCATCAAAGTGCACTCCAATCTCTCATCGGCAAGACAAAAAAAAGTGCAGAAGTTGGCCGCGGGAACCTTGCTAAACGTATTTATTTATTAACAACACTTTTCTTGTGTAGGTATGAACTTAACCTAGTAGATACTGTAATTTAGGTTGTAGTTAATACCGTATCCGAGAAAAAAAACGAAAATAAACAAAGATGAACCAACAAACCAAAACATATCTAACCAAAGCAATCAAAACATGCTGTAAGCTAAAACGCGTGTGCTTACGAATTCCAATTGCCGAGTACTTTTCAAATCTTCCTATATTTTACAACGTTTTATAAATAAATGAAAATTTCCGCAAGAAGTTTTTTTGCGTGTCTACGTTTAGAAAAATTTGTAAAATGAAAAACAGAAACGTATTTTCATGTACAGGGTGGGGAAACACCCTTTTCTATTGGAGATAGACAAAAACTAATATCGGTGTCTCGAGCTCAATTTTTGTCAAAAACATGATGGTGAAAACCGCATATCGATATCTGTTACCGTTTCGGAGTTACGGGGTGTTTTTCAAAAATATGCATTTTTAACAAATCGCTGTAACTTTTTTGCTATGGAAAATGTTGTATTTTTATGTAAACATTTCCAAAGTACCTTTTTACGTAGAATTTAATGATTTAAGTATAATTTTTTTTAAATTAATAATTTAAGAATTATCATCAGAAAATTTGATTTTTTATATGGGACACCTTGTATATTTTTAATTTATTGAAAATAATTTAAAATTACCTTTCCAAAAATATAACACGCTTGATATTTTGCCCCATTTCTTTTCGAGATATAGAGTATATAAAAATTCGCCCGCTTTAAATAAGTAGGCTTTGAACGGCACCGGCTGTAATGCAAAAAAATTCTAGCTGTGAGCATCAATTAAAACGAAAATAATATTTGCTATGAGAGATGCAGAATTTTATAACAATTTAAAATATATTTAACCAACATCAACATATTTAAACTATATCTAATAACAATAAAAATAAATAGCAAACCAAGACATGAGATTTTGCTACAGGTGTTCGACATATCGACCGTCTTCTGTTATGGACAGACGGGGCAGTTTTTGAACATTTCTCGCGGAATTCATTAATTCAGTGGGGGTGAAAGATACCCTTTCATAACTGCTAAGTCTTTCTAATTCTTGTCTAGATTATATGGAAGAATAAGGAACCTTTATTCTTCCGCAAATATATCCATAGGATTAGATCCATGGGCACTAGTCAGGCGGCCTCGACGGCCAACGGCTGGGATCTTGGTTAGCTATTCAATTATTCTTGAAATTGGCTGCAAAAATTTGCTGATAACTTCAGCGTTCAGAGGCGGTGCATCGTCTTGCTGGAAAAATATGCTTTCGAGTTCCATTAAGGACATATCATCAATAAGGGGTCCAAAGCCTACTAGTTAAAAGTGGCGAACTTTTAAAAATTCTGTATTTCGAAGGGGATTATAACAAAATATCAAGTGTGCTATATTTTTGGAAAGGTAATTTTAAATTCTTTTCAGTTAATTAAAAATATAGAGGGTGTCCCAAATAAAAAAATCAATTTTCTGTTGATAACTCTTAAATTATTAATTTTAAAAAAATTATACTTAAACCATTAAATTTTACGTAAAAAGGTGCTTTGGAAATGTTTTCATAGAAATACAAAGTTTTCCATGGCAAAAAAGTTACAGCGATTTGTTAAAAATGCACATTTTTGAAAAACACCCAGTAACTCCGAAACGGTAACAGATATTGATGTGCGGTTTTCACCATCATGTTTTTGATGAAAATTGAGCTTCAGACACCGATATTAGTTTTCGTCTAACTCCTATAGAAAAGGGTGTTTCCATTTAAAAGCGTCGAATTTGACCCACCCTGTACACTTTTTGCACTGTAGGAATATGTACCCAGTACCCAGCTTTAAGGCACACGTGATCGCCTTGCCCGATTAGGGATTGGAGTGCATTTTGCTGCAGTGCAATTCCTAACTGGTAGAAACACACAATCCGTGTCACATATAGGAGGCATTGTAAATGTGCTGACGGTAACGCCAGCTACATCTTGGGCAGGTTTTGTGGCACGAAATCGCCCACAAGGTTGCGTATCTTATTTCTTCAATCAACGATATGATACAAAATTGCCCAGTTGTTTGCTTTAAAATAACCCTAAATCTTTTATAGGAGCTGATATGCTAATGATAAAACCTATAATGGCTTATATGGATGTCTTAAAACAAGTTAATGATAAGTATCCAGAATATCCTATGTTTGTTTATCAAGTATCTGGGGAATACTCGATGATTTATAATGCTGCAGAAAAGGGTATATTTGATCTTAAAGCAGCATTGTTGGAGATATTACAGTCTTATAGAAGAGCTGGTAAAATAGTTATTTTAAAAAGTTTGTAATAACATTTTTTTTTAATTGAACTTTTAGGTGCGGACATAATAATAACATATTACACACCTCTTATATTGGAATGGATACAATTGAAACACAAATTGTAATTGTTTGTCAAGGAAGATTAGGGAATAAGTATTGGAATTGGTGAAATATAGTTACTAGACGTTTTTATAAAGATGCAAACTTGTCAATAAATATTTATTAAAAAATATATCCTTAATAAAATAATTATATATAATATTAACTGACAATAAACATAATTAAGACGATAAATTTGACATAAATATCACAATTTACATTTTTGCAAAAAAAAAGAAATTAAAAAGAATAGATATTTAATATAAATAACAATATAATATAAGATATATTAAATAAAAAAAGTTTGCCAGCCTTGGAATTATGCAGTATCTGTATATAAATATATCAACTTTAATTCGTAAACTCAGTTTACTATAAACTTTAGTATTTTACTATTAATCTTCTTATACAGGGTCAAAGAGTTGTTTTTACCCTATCATTAAAACACCCTCTGTAATAATGTCGTGAGCAAATTTTCCTAAAACATTATTTTTCGGTCAGAACTTTGAATAAGAAGACTAAGGAAGGAGCATAATGCTATCCATGTATTCATGCATGATGGGCAGAAAAAGGACTCTATGGTGGGGGTCCTTGACAGTTCTGTTAGACGATTCATTTGACATATTTGAATTTGATTTGAAATTTTGTGGATTTGTCAGTCTTTACGGAGCTTATTTTATGTTATTTATTATTTATTCTACTACTGATAGTTGTATAAAGGTAATAAATCTATATGGAAATTGTGGCAGAACTTAAATTAACAGTGACACTATCGCGATTTATCGAAAAAGACTCTAAAATGGTTGTGTAGCGTGCGGTAGATCTCGGCGAAAATCGAGTGAAATAATGGAACAACTTTTCGCTAGTAAGTGACTATATAATATACATACGTGTAGTAAACCGATCATTTATGAAATTCACTAAATTAACTAATTATATATTTTTTCTTGCATTTTTGCTTTTATTTACTACTTGTCAAAGATTAGATGTCAAAGAATTTAGATACGTCAATTTGACTTACTGCTTCAGTAGCGTATCGGATGTTTGTGTTAATAAATGATTATTAAAACTTATCTATTTTTATTGGAATAATATGTGTTTATAACAATTTTAATAACTACCAACATTTATTCACAACGTAAAATAAAAAAAATATTGAGTCTACCCCACGTCTACCCTACATCATAGTTTTACATTTTTTAAATAAAATTAGAACGGCACTGATAAACCGGAATTTAAGTCGGCCATATTTGAGTCCCATCCCGGTGGACCTAAGATTTTTGGTATGCTCCTTCCTTAGTCTTCTTATTCAAAGGGTCAGAACCATATCTCCCAAATATTTTGTTTTTTAACTCATGTCAACACATGCCATTAATTTTTAAGATCAAAACGAACTTGCCACAAACATTTTGCAATTTCTTCAATTATCGTTACTTTTTAATGTTATTACTGACTGCATTAAAATTTGCAGTTATACAATATAATATTTTTTTAATTAACTTTTGATATGATAGTACAGAAAATACATTGAGCCGGCCATCACAATTTATTAAAATTTTAAACTGTATATGTAAATTATTGTGTCATGTGGGTGATATTGTATGAGTATAATTTTAAGTTAAATGTTATGTGTTATCACCTGTCATTTTATGCACCCATGTTTTAATACAAGTTTGACGAAGGAAATGTACGTTTTGTGGCTTTGAAAAAGGTTAAAACTGGACCGAAACGTTAGTTATATAATAAACACTTCCTAAACCCAGAAAAAGTTTAATATTGACCAAAAGCCAAGAACCCTATAAATAAACAATATAATATTTAAACATAGCAAATATGTTAAAACACATCTTTCTATTTTAACATATTGTAACAATTTTGAAATGTACGACCTATGTCTTGCATAAGAAATTAAAAGTAATAGAAATAGTAATGTAATTGTATACTTTTTTATTATGTAAAAATATTTTGAAAATAATAATTTTTACCAAAAAAGGTTACTTTAGATAGGCCAAAGGTAATATTAAATTTCTGCCTAAGCAATATTTGAAACAACTTGTATTTAAACTTACAAGACATAATTCACTTCTTAAACACCTTTTTGATGCAAAATTCCAAGACCGTCTCTATTTTTCTTTACTGTATCTCGGTTTAAATAAATGAAAAATACATACTTCATGCCACAACAAGCAAAATTTAAACTAAATAATATAACCGACCCACAAATAGAAAATATAGTACAGTTTATGTATTTGTTATTGGGCCAGGCCTATAGACTATTTCAAACCAAGATTCAGTCTGTTCAAAATTTTTGGAGAGCGAGTATAAACTTGTTCACGAGATTCACTTGAGGATGGTCAGGACGGAAATACAGAGAATATAAAATTAATTCGCACGCATACAACATTTACAGTTTAAAATACAAAGTTCTATTAAGTATATTTAATTTAGTATTATTAATAATAAAAGCACCAGCGATGGATGTTTTGATTTATTCCTCAAAAATTATTTTAGAGTAAGATCCCAGAGCGATCAGACATAACTTTTCACAAGGATGAAACCTTAGGCTCTCAGTAGTACCACAGATTAGGTATACTATATGTATACAGATAAAAATCTTGTCCCTAATTCGTGGTACGAAAATTGTTTTTTTATGACGATGAGCAAACGAGTAAAATTTCCTGTGCACAAAAATAAAGTCGCGTTTAAACAGCGTAAAACTGTGCCGGTCAGGCGCTGTGCACAATTTTAGAGGCCATAAGGGGGCGTGCTATGTGCGCAAAAAAGTAACCTGACTAGTGCGCGACTCCGAAAATTGGAACCACGAAAAACAATGCTTTTGACGATAAGTTTATAATCTGTATAATTTGCGGTAGTACTCTCATGTGCTTTGAATACCGGAGTGTTTGTGGGGTTCGCCCCGTGACACCTTGGCCGATACCAGGTGAGAAAAGTAACTAAAAGAAATAAATGAACTTTACTTTATGTCTGATTTTTACATATGTTATTAAGACAGCTATTATAAAGTTATATTTAGACAGATTGTAATGACCAAACATCCTCTAAACACAGAAATTATTCAGCCGGTACATTGAGCGCGGGAGAACTATGCGTTTCCGAGTAAAGTATTTAAATATTTTAAAAATACTTACTGCTTTCGATTTAATATTTTTGTATCTCTATTTAAATAAGATTAGTTGTAAAAGTGAAAAACATACTTATGGAGCCGATCGGCCGACTATTTGATTGCATGTGAACACGGCTCCATAAGAATTATATTGGTTACAAATCTGCAATTAAATAGTCGGCCGACTAAGAATTGCATGTCACGCCCAGGTTTATTTTCCAATATTTCCTTTTACAGTAACCAAACTATTTAAAAACATAAGTCAGAGAATTCAAGGTGTCTTGTTTTTCAAATTAATATTTTTTTTAGAAAATATGCGATAATTGATTTCAGTAGTTTATATGCAATAAATTAATTTACTTTAATAATTATTAATTATTACTTTAATAAAAAAGCTCATCTTATTTATATAGAGATGCAAAAATATTAAATCGAAAGCAGTAAGTATTTTTAAAATATTTAAATACCTTACTGGGAAGCGCATAGTTCTCCCGCGCTCATAGTCAATACTCACGGCTAAATAATTTTTGTGTTTAGAGGATGTTTGGTCATTACATCTGTCTGACTGATTAAATATAACTTTATAATAGCTGTCTTAATAACATATATGTAAAAATCAGACATGTAAAAATAAGTAAAATTCATTTATTTCTTTTAGTTACCTTTCTCACCTCGTGAATGGGAAACAGCTCAGCCAAAAAGTGTGTAACAAGAGGCACGCCACACAAGGAGGGGTATTATCACTTCTGCTGTGGCTGATTGTAATGAACCCGATCCTGACCTCTCTGGCAATGAAGGGAATTAGGATAAAGGCATATGCAGACGACGTGGTAATATTGATCGTTGGCAAAGACTTGCAGACGATCAGTGACATCATGGAATCTGCTCTGAAGAAGTTAACGGAATGGGCAAAAAGGAATGGTTTGGGCATCAATCCAGACAAAACCGAACTCATTCTGTTTACAAGAAAATACAAGATACCCAAGTTCACGCTACCAAAGCTGGAAGGGAAGACACTTCTTGTACTTGCTAAGGAGACAAAATATTTAGGAATCATTCTGGACTCGAAGCTTTCCTGGAAAAGGAACACGGAGGAAAGGATAATAAAGGGAATAAATGCATTCTATGCATGTAAAAAACTATTTGGAAAGAGATGGGGTCTACAACCGTACATTATACACTGGATATGATGCTATAGTTAGACCAATAGAAAAAGCCTCACAAAAGTACAGCGATTAGCAGCTCTAGGTACAACTGGAGCAAGGAACAACACAGCGCAAGCTGCGCTAGAAGCAATTCTGGACTTGCAATCAATCGATTGGCTCGTGAAGGATCTGGCCGCTAAGTGTGCCCTAAGATTAAGGGAATCCAATCTGTGGAACCAGACCAACTACGGTAACTCGATATTGCCAGTGATAGGGAAAATCATGGTGAACACGAGTCCACATCTGCTAGACCAGAAGACGGACTATATGCTCACCAAACATGATTTTGGAGAAAAGATAAGGATTCGCATCCCGACAAGAGAAGAATGGGAAACACATAAGTACTACTGAGAGCCTAAAGTTTCATCCTTGTGAAAATGAGTTATGTCTGATCGCTCTGGGATCTTGGACTATTCGGAGACAAACGTGTTATAAGTGAGATTCGTTCCTTGACCGTAGGTATTCTTTTATAAAAAAAACTAAAAAAGTGTATCACAACCGTTTGTTCATATTATTAACATTATTTACCTATGTATTGTTAGAGGCAGCCATACTGTGAAGTGATATTCAAAATTAATGGCAATATTTCTTCTAGGAATATTTTCGTACAAATTAAATGTCCTTTATTTCAACCTTGATAAGTAATTTAATAACTATAAAAACTAATTCTGAGTATCGATTTTTGTAATAATTTCCAAAAAAAATTATTCAATATAAAAAAATAATTCAATTCATCATATAACAAAACTAATAAAAACCACTATGAAGGTTAAAAAGTTCCTAAACTGTATACACAATGCAATTCTGTCGTATCTATATGTGTATCATTATAATATCATTGGCAATAGTAATGTCTAGCCATTGTGTATGATTAAGTCAATATTTAAATTTTTAATTATATTGAAATTATAATACTTTGTGTGACATAAAAAATAAAATGTATTTTAAAATTGATTTGTAAAACTTTAAAATTTCCCGGTCACACGCTAGACTAAAAAAATTAAAATTTTATTTTATTTGGTTCTTATACAAATACATATAATTCTTGGGTGTAGAAGTTTCATTTTTATTTCGATTTTTTCCAAATAATCCCTGAAGTAACGTCAATATTTGGATGAAAATTGGTGTCTGGAAGTTTTTTGACATGAGAAATTTGGGATTTTGATGTCAATATGACTCCTATTCGTAGGGGGCGCCACCTACATGTGTTTAAACTCTTTTGAAGAGTAATAATTTTTCGTCTGTACCCGTATAAAACCACCGAGTGAAAAAATATACATTTCTTTGACTTTTTAATTAAAAATGTTTTTTTTTCTTTGGTAAAAATCGATACGTGCAACAGTTCTCAAGATATTTAGAATGGAAATAGTCAATACATGTCATTATTGACAAAAAATATTTTTTATTTTTTTAATTAATCATAAATTTTTCTTCGCAAAAATTATGATAAATCGGTTTTTGTTGAACTTTTGACACAAAAACATTTCAAATTTATGATTTAGTTTAATAACTATTTAGTCAACGTGTTTAATTTATATTAATGATGACAGGTATTGATAATTTCGATTCCAAATATCTCGAGAACCATTACTCATACTTTTACCAAGAGACCTTTTTTACGTTAAAAACGTCGTAAATGTATATTTTTTTACTCGGTAGTTTTATATAGGTATGGACGAAAAGTTATTACTGTTCAAACCAGTTAAAAAATGTGTAGGTGGCGCCCTCTACAAGTAGGAGCCATATTGACATCAAAATCAAATTTCTCATGTCAAAAAACTCCCAGACACTAATTTTCATCTAAATATTGACGTTACTTCATAAATTATTTGGAAAAAATCGAAATAAAAATGGAATTTCTACACCCTGTGTCTCCGAAACTAAGCAGTTTCGGATATACTTTCATACGAACTTTTTTACTTATTTTTATCTGCAGAATATTCTGCCGAAGTTTCCGGAATACAGTTCGGACCACTCTGTATATCATGATTGATTGACGTATTCAGTTAGTCTGGGTCACTTCCTGTTTCACCGGAAATTACTACTTCTGATTTTTAAGTGAAAAGATTTGATTTTTAAGTGAAAAAATAATTTTAAATTTCAATCTTGATGTACCATGGCTGTGTTAAAGCCACTAATTTTTAATCATGGAGCCTTGCAAAAATTTATTAGATCGTCTACTGTTTTTTCGAGACTTTTCTTTTATCGAGGCCTACTTATTAAAAACGCTATTATGCATATGGCAAATTCCAACGTTCCATTCATTTAAAATTATAATACGGGGTTCATAACAACAATTTGATTCGAAATACCAAGTGGTATGAAATTATTCGTTATAATAACGTGAAAATGCTTTTTACGTTCTTTTTTTACACCACATACCATTTTAAAAAATTGAAATATGATTAAAAATACGTTTTGAGCTTCTTTTAACTGGCCAGGAAAAGACACGAAAAACATTAAACGATGAAATCTATTTTTATAAGACTCCTTGATTATAAAAAAATAATAGTTTTAATTTGAAAACTGTCAAAACTTTCAACTGTTGATATGAGATGTCATTCTATTCAGAATATTATTTCATATAGAATAAAGTTAAAAAATACCGAGGGTACCATTTAAAAATCAAAAGTTATAGTTTTTTTGTTGAAACAGACAGTGACCAAAAATAATTAAAAATGTCAATCAATTCTGATTTATGTCATATACTAATGCAACCAAATTTCTTTTTTTTCAAACGTTACAAAAGTATTAATTTTTGCGACGTGATTGACAATATAAAAAAGTAATTTTAACGCCTATGCATAAAAGTACGAAAATACAAACGAAAATATATTATTAAACTGACATAAAGTGCCAAATTCAACGAGCGTAACCATAGTTTCTCGATATATAATTACATACAAGGTATAACTTTTATATCTTTTTACAATATTTCGAATGTTTGAAATTGTTTAAAAACTTATTTGTGGCGTTTGAAAAAAATAACATGTTCTATTCGGAGTAAAAATGACTTTTTGTGCCTCGGCTGTATGACCAAACCAAACCAAACCAAACGTACAGCCTCGCCACAAAAAGTGTCATTTTTACTCCTAATAAAATAATATACTATTTTTTTGTGCGAAAAAGTAAAAGTTATGGGGGTGACCAACTTATGAAAAACACGGTATATTAGGTGTGTATTATACGCGTAAAGTTTACCGCTTCAACGGTACCAATATGAACACGATCCAACACTAGTAAGTATGAATAAACCTTTTTGTAAGACAAATATTAGCTGTGCTAGAAAAAAAGAGACATTAACAAAATTACAATAAAATACTATTGCTTGATACTTATTGCTTATATGTATATTAAAAATATCATAGCAGTATATTTGTAATGATAAAATAATTCAAAGCTCTCAGTCCAGTAAATTTACCTAGATAGAAATAAATAATTTTTAATTTTGAATATCACTTCAAATACAGCGGAATGTTAATTTTGGCCAATGAAGAAGCCAAACCACTGATAAGCCTGAGGGCCAGAGAATATTATTACTTAATTCTTTTTTACTTACAACTATCTATACAAATCAGTCAGGCAGGTGCATTTCTCTACAATTTGGGCAAATGACGTTTTGCCGATACTCGTTGACACGCACTGGATGCTTTTGAACAATTGATCTGAAGACATGTCCTCTGGAAGCCTGGTGAGAAACTGCGCTCCGTGGAGAAAATCCATTGTCAGCAATGTGGATTGGTACAAATGGAGAATGCCTATTAAAATTCCATAGTTGATAAAAATTGTAAAATACGATCGAAAAATACGGCGTCAAAGACGACAGGGGAATGACAGTCGATTATCATTGATTGTCATTCCCTAGGCCGGCGATTTTTTTTTTTCGATCATACGGTATATTAATAAACTAGAAAAGGCAATATGTTAAGTGTTATATTTTTGTTATTTTTAGCCCTATTTTCATGATTTTTTTAGCAAACTGTACAGGGTGGGGCCTCTACCTAACCTAACTGAAAGCATTTTATAAAAATATATAGAATTATACAGGGTGTCCCCAAAAAAAGTTACACATCAAAGTTGTGTTTTTTCTAATGGAACACCCTATATATTAATTGATTTTCGGATTCTAGGAAAAAAATAAAGCTGAGTTTTATTAAACTAGCCTATACCTAAAATCTAAGGATTTTGACATATTTCACATTTTGTGAAAATGAAGAGTAAATTTTAAATTTCGATAACAGCTACCTAAATTTTAGTTGGCCTTGTATAGCCTGATATTTAATTACAGTAACCATTGTATGTAAAGTTATACAGGGTGAGACAAAATTAATATGGAACGTTAGTCACTTTTAAAAGCAAGTTACTCTTTTATTTTAAATGGAACACCCAGTATATTATTCCGGTGTTCAATGGGGAATTTATATATCTTCAAAATATTATTAAGGTTGCTTACCCGTCAGACAAAGGTTTTCCTACAAATTTTAATTTTTATGATTTTGCGTCAGTAGATCTTTATTATTTGAAAAAATCTAGGGTGGCTGTGATATACCTTTTGTTAATTTAACAAAAATTAAAGATTGTAGAGTAAAATACTCAACGGTAATAAAAAGATCACAAAAACATATTTTAATTATTACAGAATTAAAACTAGATATAAACCTATAATTATGTGACAAAAATTAGCTAAATGAAATCAAATGCTGAAAGTGTTTCCTTTCACTTTTTTTTTGTCATTTAAAATGTATATGTGAAGTTCTACCTCGAAAAGCAGCTACAATAATTTCTCTCATGTTGTCGACAATTTCGGTCGACTTTTGTAAACACTGTCTTTAACATATCCCCATAAAAAAACCCAGATTAGATAAAATTATTAGTATTCTATTAATTCTCTCTGATGTAGGATAAATTTCCATTTTCCGCAAATTTCTGAGAATTTTTTTGTTTTAACTGACACAAAATGATAACTTGTTAAAGTTGAACCAATTAGACAGCTATGTTGAAGTAACGTCAGACATATCACAGCCATCTAGATTTTATCAAATAATAAAAATCTACTCAGATCAAATCATGTAAACGAAAATATCTAGAAAAATCTTTGTTTGAGGGGTAGGCAACCTTAATAGTGTTTTGAGCAGATATGAATTCTCCATTGAATATCGGAATAATATACTGGGTGTTCCATTTAAAATAAAAGAGTAACATACTTTTGAAGGTGACCAATGTTCAATATTAATTTTGTCTCACCCTGTATAACTTTTTTGATCAAGTTTTAATTTGATTTAAAGTACAATAGTTAATTTAACTACATATTAGGTTATATCGGGTAAACTTCAATTTAGGTGGGTAATTTAAAAATTGTTGTTTATTTCTAGAAAATGTTTAAATATGTCAAAAACCGTACATTTTAATCATATACTGCTCTTATAAAACTTACCTTTATTTTTTCCCTAACCTAACCTACATATGCTCACAAAATTTCATTTCAATAGAACTGTCGTTCTCCTTGGAGCCTCCGCGGCATATGAGAGACGCCACCCTGTATATAATTATATCAACTTTAACCCGTAAACTAAGTTTTTTATAAACTTTAGTATTTGGCTTATTATAAGGGTTGATCGAGGTATTTTATTCTACCCTTTAAAACACCCTGTGCAATAATTTCGTGTGTAAATTTTCCTAAAATATAATTTAATCCTTAGAACCATGACTCCTTAGCATTTTGTTTTTTGATGATGTCACCATCAATTTGCAATTTTTTCAATTATCATTACTTTTTGATATAATTCTTTAATATGGCGAGATTGTTTTGGTGACTATAGTCGTAACGTCATATTACGCTGCACTATACTATAATATTATATGGATACTCTATACTAAATTAAAAAAAAAAAACGTTAAAGACTAACGATACAGTCCTGATTTTAATAAACATTCATAACGATATTAAAAAAAACATCAGTAATACAAACAGAAAATGTAAAAAATACCATAATACCTCGCATTGCCTCCCTTGGCTATTATAACTGCCTGTATACGTCCGTTCATACTGTCATTTAGGCTGCATATATCATATTGCGTTATGCTTTCCCATTCTTTAAGAACCAAGCGAAGTTCATTTCATGAAGCTGGTACCGCTTCGCGACCTCTAAACCTCCTGCCAAGCATTTCCCAAACGTTGAACATGATGGACAGTTCATAATAGTATATAGTTCACAATAATCACCAAAGCCGCCTAGTCATATTGAAAAATAAATTCAAAAAGAAATGATAATAATTGAAAAAATTGCAAACTATTGGTGGCAAGTTCATTTCTCTTAAAAATTAACCAAGGGATGTATTGACATGATCCAAAAAACAAAATGCTCAGGAGGCATGGTTCTGACCGTAAAATTATATTTTAGGGAAATTTACACACGAAATTATTGCACAGGGCGTTTTAAAGTTACTGTAAAAAGCAACTCCCCGATTAACCCTGTATAATATGCCAAATACTAAAGTTTATAAAAAAATTACGAATTAAGTTGATATAATTATATACAGCTTGCTAAAAAATCGTGAAAATAGTGTTAAAAATAACAAAAATATAACCAGAAACACCAAGTCCAAAGTCAAATACAACCTATTTCAGATAATTTAAAAAAGAATCCCATATGATGCAGACTTTATCTGTGTCACAGAACAGACTATCCTATTGAAATCAGCTCTTACCTAAAGAAGTCCGGAACACAAACTCGTACCCATCTCTCAAGAACAAATCCCAGACCCTACAAGCGACGTCCAACGGCATGGCTTTGGCGAACACCGTGTATATCCAATCCAGCAAGTACAAATCCGGCGTCAGACCAGCGTTCTCGAAGTGCGAATACAGGCGAGGCAGGTTACTGTTGAACACCTGATTGTAGGCGGCGTAGTAGGCGTTCATTTGATCCTGGTTCAGCGTGAACGCCGACAGATGGAGCGGCTGGTTGAGCAGGTTGGCGAAGCAGACGAAAGCGTCGCACGCCTCCATGTTGAGGATGAGTATCGCGGCGATGTAGGACATTCCTTGCACGTATCCAACGTCTGGCCTAATGGACGATTTTTTAATTACATTGAATACTTTTTAAATTAGAATTGAATTTCTTTGAAAATTTACAAGAAAAATGAAACATATCTTTTTCGGGAAATGATTCTGTACACTAGATTTTTGTTAAGAAAATTCACCGTCCTAACAATGATTTAACTTGATGTTTTGATTTAAAAAAAAATTATGCAGAAAATTTAAGAGGTAAAAGTGTTTCTAAATAAACCTTGTGGCGTTTTTTAAACCACTACCACTGCGAACGGCAGCTTTTCATCGGTAGAGTAGTCGTGGATACTGTATTTCAAGAAAAACTAATTAACAATAATAAACGAAAAAAATATAGATATTGGGCGCCAGGCATGCACAGAGAAAGAAAACACAGTTGACACACACTTAAAATTAATGACTATATTTATTCACGATGGACTCTGGCCATCCATATTTATTTCTTTCAAATCGTTCCGTTCAGTTTTTTTTTATAAATTAAGTTAACAAGAATAATAGGGGTAATAAATTTCAACCCCTTCCACTTATTTAAACAAAACAGAAAGAATACGCTGACAGTGTGTCTTCATAGAAGTAATACTCGTACCTCGTACTATAAAATTTCATTATTCTATCGCTTTTTGTTTATAAGATAAATAAAAATTTAATTTTTCGCCAGGTTTATACAGGCTATTCGCCTGATATTCTCTGTTAGCCAAGCAGTATAAAATTAAAACTGTTTTTTAGGTCTTGGACTACTTTAAGACGCGTCCTAACAAAAACAAAACCGGAATCATCAAATCAGGAGAAAGAGTATCTACCAGGTTACCAGGTACCTTGCGATTGCGGAGAGTCGTATATTGGAGAGACAAAACGTCCCATACATGTACGACTTCACGAACAAAAAAAAAACATACGCAAGAGGTGAAACAATAAAGTTGGGCATTTCAGATCATGTGTGGTCCAAGCACCACAACATAAAATGGTCGGAAGCCCGGGGTGTCCACAAGGAACCCCATAGGAAAAAGCGCAAATTTAAAGAGTTTGTATTCATATCTAGCAATAATAATATCTTTAGCAATCCAAGTATGGAAGTTTCAACAATATGGATAATCACCCCATAAAACGCACCAATGTAGTTTCAGTAGACAACTGTTAGTTGTTGAAAGTGCTCATTCTGTGTCGTTCACGAAAAATTCTGACCATTATATACATATTTGTGAGATTTTTTTAAGTAATCTATTACAAATGCAAATTGTAGATCCGGGGCTGTGACTAAGGTCCGACCGAACCTGGATTTTTAGTCTCGGTCGAGAACGAGACTGAGACCGAGACACGATGCAATATTTATTAAATAGGTTATTATATGAAAAAACATCTGATAATAATGTAATAAAAACGTTGTTTTCATACAGAAACGGTTTTATTGGGATTTAATACTATAAAATTACTTTTTTAGTCTATGTTATAGGTTAAAAAGTAATCTTTCAGCATTGCATCCTTTCAAATTATGCAGTGTTCATCATATTTTTTCTAAATAGTTGTTTGCTAGGGACGATTGCAGACTAGAAATAAATAAGCTGCTGGTTTCAGAACTCTGTTTACAATAACAAGGCACTAACATCTAACATTTCGTTCATTGTTTACGCACAGAAATACGAAGGCGATTCTTCAGCCGTCCGGGAAATCCCCTTCGCGATTTGATCAGATCATATATGGATCAGATATGATCTATTATTTTTTTTTTTCGACTTCGGACGAGTATTTCATTCACTCATGCATTGATACGTGGAGCGATACGCTCAAAAGTAAGATAATTGGACGATCATGAGCAGTCTCGGCCTTTTTATGCCGAGAACTCGGTCGGACCTTAGCTGTGGCACATACTTACCTAAAACAAACATAGGCTGCTAACAGTGAGTGAAGAACTTCGGAATAAGGCCCCCCTTGTTGAAAAATACACAAATTTGGAAAGGTTCTCGATATATCCAATTCAATGACATCCATACTGCTCTCCTAAAAATTATACAGGGTGTCTCAGAATAAGTGCAAGTATTTTAACTGGTTGTATAGTTCGATCACAGAAACGCGCCCAAGAGGTTTTTTGCGAAAAAAAATTGTTGAAAATTATCGATTTTTCTTGACATTTTTCGGAAAATGTCGAAACACTTTTGAGTGCCACTGTTTCTTCTCTGGAAATTTGTTTATAGTGCATGTGGACAGTGCAATGTTGCATTATATTTATAAGTTCACAGTAATTTGGACTATTCACATACATTTATTCTTATTGCACTGACAGTATGTATAAATAAATTAATATTTTTCTAGTTATCCATCAATTTTGTTATTTCTAATCGTTCCCTCATTTGTAAATTCTGAAGAAGGGTATGAAATGAACCAAATACAAACGTCTATTGACCCAATATGAATTTATTTTAATGATTATCCTTCAATGAGGTATAATCATACAATAAGATTGTGAGGATACGTGCCTTTTATTCCCTCATTGGAGGATATTCATTGAATCGACTAAACCAAGAGAAATATTATAAAATACATATAAAAGAATGGTAAAAAGGCATGTTTTTTATTTTTTACATTTAGCATAATATACATACACATATTTCTTGTTTTTTCATATACTAAAACAATGCAACTCAGAAAAACAACCCCTGAAGTATGGTGTACCTCAGGGATCTGTATTAGGCCCCATCTTGTTCCTTATTTATATAAACGACCTAGCATACTGCCAGGGAGGGGGAGTCAACACTGTTTTGTTTGCCGATGACACAACCTTTTACATAAGTTACCACCCCTTAGAGATTGACAATCTTGATTATCACACTTCACTAGAAAACCTAAATCAATGGTTTCTAGCTAACCGTCTATCTTTAAATCACTCTAAATCGCAAAGTATGAACTTTACTCTAAGAAACAATATTAATTTTGATCACCCTGTACTTCATCATTGTGCAACAGAAGCCAAGTTTCTTGGGGTGCACTTAGACACAGGACTGACCTGGGAGAACCACCTTGTCAACCTGTCAAAAAAATTATCAAAAGAACTTTTCCTGTTTAGAAATCTTGTGCAGATAACCTCAAGAGAAACTCTTCTCACAGTATATCATGGCAACTTTCATTCCCATCTGACTTATGCTATTCTTTGCTGGGGTCATTCTTGTCATGTCAATAAGGTTTTTGCGCAGCAGAGGAAGTGCGTGCGTATTATTGCAGGGGTGGGTTACAGGGAGGATTGTCGTAATTTATTTAAAAAATTTAAGATTTTAACTTTGCCCTGTGTGTACATTATGCAGTGTTTGTTGTTCGTCAAGCAAAATCTTGATCTATACAGGTCACATGAATATTTTCACAGCTACCCAACAAGAAATAATAGCAATCTTGTACCGGACTTTTGCCGGCTTGAGAGATCCAAGAATGGTTCAAGATATTTGAGCATAAAGTTTTATAACCTGGTACCAGCTAGAATTAAGGCTCTTAATTTTAATCAGTACAAAACAGAAATCAAAAACTACCTTGTGATTAATGCATTTTTTTCTTTTGAGGAGTACTTCAGTTCCAGCTTTAGTCTGTATTTCATTTGTTTTGTCTATGTTAGTGTTTGTGTGTTGTATCTGTTCATTTATAACATATATTTGACATACATATTTGTTTTAATTTTAAGGTTTTAATGATTTTCTATTGGTTAATTGTATACATTTTATTATATAAAATTTGTGTATTAATGATGCAATGTAAAAACAACAAAAAAAAAACTGTAGAAACTAAATTTTTATCAATTTTTATAATTTTATATATATATTTTTTTTTTGACTTGTAAAAATACTTCTCTTGTATGTTATTACTAATAAATAAACTAAACTAAACTAAACAATTCCAATTCAGTACCGACATTTTCTGTATACTTATAGAAAGGAAATGAGTATTAAAATAAGATAAGAAAAAAATGTATATAATTTATTATCATAATGACGTTAACAATTTAATATACAATCAACATTCTTGAGATAAATTCTGACCGAAATATTACTATACATATGTTATAGTAAAGGCAAAAGGTGCAGAAGTAATAATTTTTACTGCATGTTATGAAATAGCCAATAATTACTGACTGACACATAATTTTCAAATTTTTCTTGTTAATAATAGATAAGGGTAATGCAAGGGCAAGACCATTTTTTTTTACTTTAAAACAAATTAGGAGCCATATACAGGGTGTTCTAGGTTGAGCGTGCATTAGAACTTTCTAGAGAACTATAATTTCTAGATCGGAGATTTTTTGCCACATCACTGATTCACAACGAGATCGGTCTGTCGATTAAAAATATTTTTAATATGGCGGCACTTCCGGAAATACCGGAAGTTGACAGCCACTTTCATATTTTAAATGGGTGCCCCCATTTTTTATTACATACTTCGATTCTCTGTAAAATTTTGTGAATTTTGATATCAAACACTCTATACCTAACATAAACCGTTTTTGGGGAAAAAAAAAATTTTGGAGGAAAAAAAACTGCCTGTCAAAAAAATCTGTATAGCCTAAACGTCAAATTTAGTGATTACCTACCACAGCAACTGTGGTATAAAGAGAAGACATGTGGCTATCTATTTCAAAAATTAAATTATTTGAATGTCATATAATATTGGCCATACTGTCATAGAATTGAGCGATTAAAAAATTATCATAAATCATTTTTTCTCAAATGGAAACCCACTTTTTTATTTTACTAGTGATAAGGTTTTTCAATTCATTACTTTTTGATTATACATGTAATAATTCGTTTTTAAGTTATTTAAGATTTAGTTTTAAAGCGTAATTTTGTCTTGATTTTATCTAATTTCCATTGACATTAAGTGTCAAACCATCAGACAATTTATTTCCTTCTGTCAAAAAACTAATTATTTGAATTACGTATATTATAAATACTGCTGGTAAAACTTTATAAAGTGTATTTATAAAAATATATCTTGTATTTTAGTGATAGCTAATGGCAATATGACATGGCCAGAGATAGTTTTACATTGCGTGACGTTTAAAGTCATAAGCTACTGTAGCTACCTAAGCTTTATTTTTTATTCCAAGAAAAAAAAATGTTAATTGCATATTTTGGCAGATATTTGTGAAAAACTGATTTTTAGGCTATTTGAAACCTTTTTTTCAGCCTAGCACGGTGTTACAATTTTTTCTCCTAAAACTACTCCCCAAAAAGTACACAATCCACCTGAAAAGTCCCCATGGACGAATTAAGCCGTGGTTTCAACCGTCATTTACTGGGCTGACATATCATTTTTAAATAATAAAACTGAATTATATCTATAAATAAAATACCTGATCATTCTCATAATCACTTTGGGAAGGTTCTGGACTGTTCAGTCTGTTCTGAGCCCGTGTTAAACAAATTTCATAGAGTTGAGGTGTAATATTCAGCTCATTACCTATTGCCAATCGCCACACTTTACCCCTTACACTAGATGGCAAACCCTGCCACCATAATTCTTGTGTCCTTTTATTTTTCTCCCTGTAAGTATTGAAAATTAGTGTATTTTATACTAAAGGCTATTAAATTACACTCTCACATTTGGTTCCAATTTGGCAAGACATTTTGTATAAAATGTTTAGTTGAAATTGCTTGTTGCTCTTCTTGTTGCAACTGCAATTTCTTTTGTTTTTCCTTGGCTGCAGAAGTCTTTGCTTCTTTTTTCTTTGCAGCAGCTAATATCTCATTATATTCTTGAGCATGCCTCTGCTCTTCTTCAACAGTTTTTGCAGGCAATGATGATGGACTACATTATAAAAAAATAAGTTTTCTCTATACATGTGTAACTGTTAGCTTCTTACCGCTTTAACTGGATTAGAGCTGAAGAACTGGCGACTGTATGTAGAGGTGAATTAGCACACTGATTTGAGCGACTTCCAAATATTTTCCAAACACTACTATTGTTCTCAGTTCCTACTGCCGACTTCCAAGAAAACACATTCCTAGAAAATATCATTTACTATATTGAACAAAAAATCTATAACTTTACTACTGACTTAGTAAGAAAGTGTGTAAGACTTTTTCTTCTTGACTTATTTTCAGTTAAATTATCATCTTCAAAATTAGAAAGAGATCGATCTTCACTACCTATCAAACTACCAGATGTAGAGGGTTCACTTAAAGTTGATATTGTACTTGAATAAGACCCTTCCTGTATTCTTCGATGTCCTAGTTTCTTTGATACATTACAAACACTATTTAGAGATTCCTGTAAGTAAACCATTGTTATATAAAGGCAATAAATACTTCAAAGGAATACAACCTGAGTTAAACTTTGTTCAGTGTTATCAACTTCGATACATAAAAAATTATTGTCAAAATCATCAGTTTCTTTGTGAAATGTATCATTGCCTGATGATTTAGTTGATTCAAAAGATGTATTGCTCTCTACAAAATGTAACTGCTTAGTTAGAGGACTATATGCTAGTGATATGTTTTTTAATGCTTCATTGAGTGTCAACTTGTTACATGAGGTTTCTTCACGAGTATTAACTGTTTTTCTTTGACATTTGGTATTTTCAGGACTGGATTCTACACTTTTTACTTTATCACATCGTTCCGGCCAAGTTTTAAACCAATTATCACTTGTTGGACTTCCATTTGAGCTAGATTTCTTTGTTAAAATATCTTTCGATTCGTGTATTGGAGAATCACTTTCGCTAATTAATTTCTGACAATGTAAATCTTCAATACTTTTCGAGAGAATGTTCTGATATCCATTTTTTCGGTTCAAAGCCAATTTAAATCCATTTTTCAATAAATTATTTTTTATTTTTAGGGCGTTTGTATCCTTGGTAATTAATTGTTCACTTGGGGCGTTTACACACGTACTTTCCAAATCAGTCATGACACAAATAGGAACACAGATCTTTTTGGTACGACGTTATGTGATTATTAAATAAAGATACATTAGGAATAATTATATTTTTGTTAATAACTTAAATAATAGAAACAGAACGTCAAAAAACAAAGAAATGACATCGTGATTAAATGTCAGATGTCAAACGACAAAGAACTGTCAAATATGTTCCTTCATTTTGTATCATATAGTTTATATGATTTTTTTGTTAAAATAAAAAATAAATATAAAAGACAAACTAGGATTGTAAAATTTTATTTTTATTATCGCTTACTTGATCTATAAAATTATTTTTCAGATAAATAGAATAAAATATAATTATTTTGATTTTTAGTATTTCGATAAATCAATCTACATTTTTTCGTTATTTTCTAGTCCATTCTAGCCAATGAAAATTCAGCATTTAAAAAAGTCGATTCTTTCAGATTCTTTCCATGTTCTTTCCTTTTTGTTTGGGAATTAAATCTGATCCAGAATAAAATTGTTTGATTAATTATTTATTTATTAGTATTTAATAATTATAAATGTTTTTATTTGTAATTTAATATTTTATTCTATATTATCGGCGCTCTTTTAACTTTTATTAGTTATCTAAAAAATACGTTAACAATGGTATACCATCCTGATTTGTATAGCAACGCAAAACAGAACAGAAAAGGTAAATTTAAAAAAATGGAGGAACAAATTTTCAGTTTATCTGAAATGGGTAACTTAGTGCCATTAATTGAAGAAAATCAAACAAACGAGTAAGTTTTGCCATAGATAACTGAGTTTCGCATTTATTTCGCAAACAAAATTCAACTTTTTTAACAAATAAAAGCGAAATTTTTTATACTCTTGTCATTTGCTGTCTCTTCAATCACAAAATTTCGCTTAGAAACAATCAAACTAAAAATTGTTTTTCTAATTTGTTTCAATGTTTGCTTTTATTTTTTTCTTGTGTAGCAATATTTTAATTTCTAGATTGTTGAAAGAGGATATACAAATTAAAGACAGCGATATTTTATATTTTTCTCAATATGGACATTTGACTACGTCAGCGGAAGAAGGAGATATTCAGATTTTGAGCGATATTCAGGAGGGTTCAAGCATGCCATTACAAGGTAAGTAAAAATTGGAATTTTATTTATTAACCATTCAGTTGTTTTATTACAAAAAAATGTCGTCGATATAATTAGGTACAGCGGAACGCATTAAGAATAAATTTCATACCCAAATGGGTTCAGGATTGACCAGCAATAGAGTTAAAAATTTCCAAGATGACGTCAAGAATGAGCAAAATTATAAATTGAAACTGAAGGAAGTAGATGGAAAAAGCGTTAAATCTTTTGAATGCGGAGTTTGTGAGTTTTATCTTATATATTTTTATACAAAATGCATTTGCATTTTTATACCTATAGGTGCTTGTTTATTTTTTTTTATTTTTGTTTTTTTAAGAAAGCAATAGAAACGACTTCCGCCATTTTTGTACCTACCGCAATTTTTCTTTGATGGTTAACTATTAACTTTTATATTACAATCAATTTTTTACTAAACAATCATCTTTTAAATTTTTCGCATTTGTTTTAAAACACCATATTATGTATAATAAAAGATTTCTGACATAATATTTAAGGTCAACAATTCCTGTAGGAGCCCATTCTTTAATCAATGAAGAACTAAATATTATATTAACAACTAAATATTCAGATACACAAAAATTTTTGAAATTTTTATTCTATACAATCTTAATTATTATATAAATTGCGGTATTCGGTACCACCAGTGTGTGTGTACCGCGTTTTAATTTTTTTAATATTCCCTAATTCAAAATATGTTATACTAGTTGAAGCCTGGCGCATCCGCCACGACATACCTACATCAGGAAAAAAAACCATTTTTATAATTAAATGAAAAACAAAAATCCGGCGACGACAGTTTTTAGAAGAGCCAATTAGTTTGGTTAAAATAGCAGCTTTCTAGAGCAAGTCATTACTTCAGTAGAGACGACACAGATAAACATTAGTATTTTTATATACAGGGTGTTCCAGGTTGAGCGTGCATTAGAAGTTTCTAGGGAACCACAATATCTAGATCGGAGATTTTTTGCACATCATTGTTTTACAACGAGATCTATCGATTAAAAATATTTTCACTATGGCGGCACTTCCGGAAATACCGGAAGTTGACTACAACTTTCTTAATTTAAATGGCCGCCCCTATTTTTTATTACATACTTACATTCTCTGTAAAATTCTATGAATATTGATGTTAAATACTGTATATCTAACATTAACCGTTTTTGAGAAAAAAAAATATTTAAAATTTTTGGACGAAAAAAACTACCTGTCAAAAAAAATTGTATAGCCTAAAAGTCCAATTTAGTGATTGCTACAGCTACTGTGACATAAAGAGAAGACATATAGCTATCTATTTCAAAAATTAAATTGTTCAAATGTCATAATTATGATAATGGCGGTATCTGTCATGGAATTGAGTGATTAAAAAGTTATCATAAATAATTTTTTTCAAATGGAAACCTACTTTTTTTATTTCACTAGTGAAAATATTTTACAATTCGTTACTTTTTAACTATACATGTTCCTATACCAAAAATAAATCGTTTTTAGGTTATTTAAGATTTAGTTTGAAAACGTATATTTTTCTTAATTTTATCTAGCTTCCCTTGACATTAAGTGTCAAAAAGTCAGACAATTTATTTCCGTCAGAAAACAAATTATTTGAATTTCCCATATTGTAAATACTGTTGCCTTAAAAGTTTAAAAAGTGTATTTATAAAAATATATCTCGTATTTTCGCTCTTTAGTGATATCTAATAGTTGATATTATTAATTATATTAATAATGTTCTCTATCAACCCTGAAAAAAAAACAACGCAAAGTTGGCTTGCAAATTATTATCGATAACATACTGCCATAGATAAAAGACTTATACTATTAAATAGATAGGCAACTTATAATACATATCAATTTTATTATACAAGGGCGCTTCTGGTAGACGGAGGAAGAAATACTAATGGAAGAGAGGGGTGCGGGGAAGGGGGGTTGTTTTAGTTAATTTAAAATAAATTTAGACATACATGTAAGAACACTGTGTGCTTTTAATTAGGTCGAACATATTATAAACGATAAATCAACTGAATTAAAAGCATACAAAGTGTTCCTATATGTCGGATATTAATTAAAAAATATATTAAAAATACTAGAAATAGTATATATTAAGTTGTTACAGTTATAATTTAATCTTTGGCGGTTTTCAGCAAATACCTAGCAGGCAGTTTTACATAATTTTCCTCCCTTTGAAGTGAATTGGAAACAGCTAGGTATATAATTTTGGTGTAGGCAAGATTTCCGGTTTGTTTCCGTTTGGGACCTGAAATAATAAAAACAAATTAAATCAGATGTAATCATCTGCTGATCATGCTAATATAAAACGCGCGTCCTTAATTCCTTACATGCACCGTAAAAAAAATTAAATAACTGCTCTGCAAGTAGCATTTATTAGCAGTACTAATTTAAAAAATCTATAACTGTAAGTAGATATGTTTAATTTACTTACCATTGTATCCTTCGGAAACCAGGTGTACAACAATTAAACTCCATGATAAAAAATAATTAAGAGTTATTACAAAACACAAATTGTCCCACCATTTTTAAAAAACATTGTCTAAAACAGAATATTGGCAAAAAATCTGAAGGAATTTAATTTTACAATAATTTGACAAATCAAAACGAAATCAAACCGTAAAATCACAACAAAAGCGTCTCTGAGTGACAGTTAAAAATCAAATTTTATTATTGTCAGATATTGACATTTGCATTGTTAATATTGACAGTTTTAATATTTTGCGCCTCTGCATCTTGGAAGAAAAACTATTTTTAATGAACTGTCATTTCCATTTAAGTTTCCCAGCCATGCATACTGCTTTTTGAACAAAGTGTCACAATACGACATGACCAGATCTATTGTTTTACATCACTTGACGTTTAAAGTCATAGGCTACTTTTGTTAAAATCAAGAAAAATATACGTTTTAAAACTAAATTTTAAATAACTTAAAAACGATTTATTTTAGGTATAGGAACATGTATAGTCATAAAGTAACGAATTGAAAAGGCTTTTCACTAGTGAAATAAAAAAAGTGGGTTGCCATTTGAAAAAAATTATTTATGATACTCTTTTAATCTCTCAATTCTATGACAGCTGCAGCCATTATTATATGACATTCAAACAATTTAATTTTTGAAATAGATAGCCACATGTCTTCTCTCTATGGCACAGTGGCTGTGGTAATCACTAAATCTGACGTGTAGACTATACACATATTTTTGACGGGCAGTTTTTTTCGTCCAAAAATTTTAAATATTTTTTTCTTAAAAACGGTTAATGTTAGGTATAGAGTGTTTGATATCAAAATTCATAAAATTTTACAGAGAATTTAAGTATGTAATAAAAAATGAGGGCACCCATTTAAAATAAGAAAGTTGCTGTCAACTTCCGGTATTTCCGGAAGTGCCGCCATATTGAAAATACTTTTAATCGATAGATCTCGTTGTAAGACAATGATGTGCAAAAAATCTCCGATCTAGATATTGTGGTTCTTTAGAAACTTCTAATCCACGCTCAGCCTGGGACACCCTGTAGCATCCCTGTAGATCAGTGATTCCCAAAGTGGTCCAGGTGGACCCCCAGGGGTCCACGGGAGACTTGCTGGGGGTCTACGTAGGCGTGAACAAAAAATGGGGGTCCATAAGATGTTAATGGGGGTCCACGAAAATTTATCTGCTTTTGATAGTAAAGAGCAAAAATGTAAGCATAGTTTTTATAAGGGCCTACCTACATTGTTTTAAGTACCTATCTAAGCAGATAATATTTTAATAAGGCAAGCGACTGTTACTTGTCCAAACTTGCGTATTCGATATTACGTACAATTTCGTGTACAGACTTGCAAAGCGCTATCCGCCCGACAATGCTTAATGCTTGTTCAGACATGAACTTGATCACCACTATAAATACTTGATGCCAAAGGCAAACGCATTCATTTGTTTCGGAATTTCGAAAAAAGGCGGAATTTGGAAAAAAAAGTTGTGAGAAAATTTATATCTGTGTTTGCTAGTGCCGGAGAAAAGTAAGTAACCTACCTTTTTTTGTTATAGTACTTAAGTATTTTGTTTACGTGTACTAGTCGGTTGATCACAACGGCCTGTATAGATAGGTAACTTAGTAACTTACAGATATTTTAATTGTCCTCTTTCGATTTGAAGACAAACACAGCACGTTTTATTCAATTGTTTTTCACGAGAGAAACACTGCCTCTCTAAAAGGCCGAATAAGCAATATTGCAGAGCAATTAATTTTGTAATTTTTCTTGCAAATAACTACTAATTTTATAAAACAGTAATTTCATAATCATTTTAAATTGGTTTTGAAGTAACTATTTTATCAAAACTATTCCTTTTCGGAAAGAGCGAGCGGTGCGCGGGCGACAGGAAAAGGGCGGGGCTTGGACTTCGATGCCAGTTTGTCACGTTTTAACAATGAAGCCGCAGACAAAAATACGCAAATACACGGAGCGCGTGAACTCATTGATTTAATAAAATGTTAGTTATCGTTTTTATGGACAATTTTGGGATTTCGACTTTTATTTTTTCCCTACACAAATATGATCAGTATTCGATACTGAGTACACCAATTTTATTTATACTATTAAAAATTAGTGGTAAATTATGTACTTTAAAAATTGATACCGTTTTGTGAAAACGTCTGTATTTGTCTCAGCGGTTTATTAGTTGGTCCCTTTACAAGCCGTAATTCTATTTCCGCGTGCTGACAAAGGCTGCGGTGTGATACCTATATTCAGAAAAAACTTGGTTACTAAAACTTTTTTTTACAGGTAAGGTAACTGACACGAAACATGGCTACAGCAAAGAAAAAATGTCGACAATATAGTATCGATTATTTGAAATATGGTTTTGTTCCATCAGAGGCAGACAAACAATTGCCCATGTGCCTATTATGCAACAAAGTTTTGAGCAATGACTCTATGAAACCATCAAAGCTCGAAGATCATCTAAAAAGGTGTCATACTGATAAAATAGGTAAAGATTTAAAATATTTTCAAACATTGAAAGAAAAATATGGAAAGAGACCCACCATGCACAGTATGTTCGCTTCAACATCTCAAAGTAACGATGATGGCTTGCGGGCATCTTACAATATCTCATTACTTATAGCAAAATCTGGAAAACCGCACACTATCGGAGAACAATTAATTTTACCCGCTGTTGAAGAGGTTTTAAAAACTGTTTTGCACAAATCTCCATTTGACGTACTAAAAAGAATTC